AGATCTATTGCAACCTTTTCATTAAACTCTGTTGCCATAGGCATAGCAACTGCAGGCCTATCCGGGTTTCTCCGCCTTTTTATGCAACCTTCACAACCATCTATAATCTTATCTAGAATAGCTGCCATATCATCTGTCCAAACTCCGGCTGTTTTGATGAGAGTTACAAAACTATCTTTTGGTCTATGGCCAAACTGTTTGTGTAGCTTTTGAAGAGTTTGAGCTTTTTCTTCCTTAGATGCTGTGCTGAAATCAACAACCAGAATCTCCTCAATATTGTAGATTTGGTCATCATTAATCTCTGAACTTGTTTTCCGGTTTAGAAGAGGAATTACATAGTGACCGGCACTAGTTGTGTCTAGCATCACTTTCCTTCCAAAAATTTCTGCATAATCCTCATCCATGTGCAGAACCATTTTTGCTTTCTTCATCGCCGCTTTGGACAGCAGTAAAGGGATGTCTGACTTCACTACTTCCACCTCAATCATGACTGGGTGTTCACCCATTTCAGCAGGGATGATATATCTAGCTAAGGATACAAGGACTTCTTGACCAACACCTTTAAAACACTTCTCTCCTGGAAAAGGTCCCTGTACTCGTTTTCTTGCATAAGCTGGGAGGGATTCAAGATATATCTGTATCCAGTTTTCTCCAGCAACTGTGGTTGTACAGGCAGTATCCAATGCTGCTGAGTTTATAGCTTCAGCTGTAAATCTGCTAAGTTCTTCTGAACCTGCAGTATAGAGGATAAATCTATCCACCTCTATGTCAGGGGCTCCAGTAACTTCTTCTGTTACATAAACTCCATTCTTTTGCTCATGGCTGTGAGGACACTCTCCAACAAAATGTCTAAATGAACCGCAACTCTTGCACAGCATGGTTTTTCCATCCTTTCCCAATGGATTCACAGGTTTTCCACTCTTGTCTGTTCTTTTTGTGAATTCTGGCTTTTTAAAGCCTTTGCTATAGTACTTGGGTTTAGGAGGTCCAGTATTTGCTCGGTTTCTGTAGTATCCATGCGCAGCTAACACTTCTTCATGTTCAGCCAGAAATGCTGGTTCAAACTTTATTTCGTCTCTACCTTTATCTTTATTCTGCAACCTTTTTCCTAGAATATTTTTCATGTTGATCTTTGTATTCTTAAACAAGTTAGCCTTGTCTTCCATATCGATTCGTGCTATGATCAGCATCTTTTCCATATGGGTCTGCTCAATTAAAGCATAGTTAAGATATTCTCCAATGTTTCCTGTATTGCTTACCTAAAGATTTAATTCAATTCATTTTAATTAACTTAAGGAGTTCATTAATTTATGATTACTTATAGACGTCAACAGGTCCAAAATCCTTATGTCGGATTAAATGCTTACCACAACCACTGTAGCACAAATCCAAACTTCGTAAGAGGTAACAAAAGTCTGAACTTTTTAAACGTAAACCCTTCTAAATATGTAAACATAACTCCTGAAATGTTGTTATAACCATTTAACGCAAGATTGAATTCTAACTTTACAGAATAGAATTCCAAATAAAATACATGGGGGATTATTTTTCAGAGTAGGTGGAAAAGTATTTTTGATGATGGGGGGAATGAAAAAAAATCTTTCTATTTGATTCTTTTTTGATCTTCTTACCTATACATTCAGTTATTTACCCCTAAAAATCATTCGTTTTCCCAAATTCAGCAGGGGAAAAACCTTAAAATGTTCTGGGGAAAAAAATAATTTTTAAAAGGTAGAAGTGGGAAAAATTCATTTTCGAGAAACCATACACCCCTTATTAAATGTTAATTGCCATTTACAGATTTTAACAATATCATCTAAAATAGGATACATACTCCGGCAGCATGGATATCCCAAGGCGGGAATGCAGTAGAACCAGATTTGGCTCCTACTTCTCCCACACCAACATATGCGTCCAGAGCCATGGGTCCCCTGCAACATACTTATAATTTCAGGTTAAAACAGTTTCGTCGAATTTTTTTAAAGCAGTCTGATTTCATAAGTTAATATTAAAATCTACTACTTCTCTTAATTTTTTTGCGCCTCTCCAGTCTTTACAATTTTGCGAGTTCGATCAGAAAAAAAATATTTACAGTGGGACCCATAAAACTTGGAATAAGAAGACAAGTGTTAGACTCGAGTTATAATTTTAAATAATCCAATATCATGTGCGCCGTGCAGTGTACAAGACCAATTTTACTCGACAAGTTTATATTCAAGCTTCAAATAGTACTTTTGTTTATCAAATAAACGAAACAAAAAAAAGCTTGAATGTCGGCTTTCTTTCTTAGTTTTCTGGGTCATATTTTTTCATCAATGTGTTAGATAATAATATAAATAATATTTTATCTTTTCTTTTCCTCCGACATTTTTTATCCGAACTTGTGAATTTTTGCAATTAAAAAAAAATCAAAAAAAACCCGCAATTTTTGACACCCTGTTTTGACATCAAAAACTTGATAAAAAAAATAATTTTTTTTTGTGTATTTTAGGGGTCATTGGGAGTATATATTTAAAAAATGGGCTATTTATGTCCAACGAGGCAGGAGATAAAAAATCGGAGCCGACGGAGGTCACTTTTCAGAGGTTCCAAGACTCCGGAAAGAGATATCGACAATCTGACTTCATATCCTACTCCTAACAAATTATATGAGTCTACGTTCAAAAATAGAACCGGCTGCTATTAATATTGAAAGAGATATTACAAAATGTCTTACTTGACACGGGTTCTTTATATATCCAACTGTCTTGTGTTGTCATTTGGGAAATTATGTTTTTAGTTGTGATTTTTACTCTTTTGTTTGATTAAAAAATCTTGAATTTAAACCTAAAAAAACGAAAAAAGTAAACATCCCGGCCAAAAACCAAAATGTCCTGCATGAGAACACAAGACAGTTGCACAAATAGATATTAATAATTCATACAGACTTTTCTCTTTACTTTATGAGCTTTGAGCTGAAAACTTTAGAATGAAATATCCTTAATCCCGATTACTCAATCTGAATGGACAAACCTTTGATTTTTTTCTTAATCCGTTCTTTCTTGGATAAAGTAGAGAAAAATCAAAAACCGGTTTTTTAAATTAGAGAGTCCCTCCCGATTCTGTATAAAGCTTAAATGGCGCGCAAAGTTTCAAATTTATCGGCTTCATATATGTGACACTGATTGGTAGAACTTTGTTCACTTTTCAGGATACATGTGCAAGATTAGGTTAGTCTCGATATTTAGAAAAGAGAGGATAAAGCATTAATCTCGATATCCACCATCCTAAAGTTTTCAGCTTTGGCCATTTTGAATCTGTTAACAAATTACCTGTGTCTGAATCAATGTCTGTTTCAAAATTTAAATTCTTTTACATTTTATCTCTGAAACAACATAACAGCATATTACTTAAGGACAAAAAATACATAACATAGCATACAAATCGTGAATGAAATAAAATTTGATTACAAAATATTGCTGCATGAAAAAAAAAACATTGTGCACATTATGATACCCCTGAACTATCGATAATAAAATCACAAATGGGCTTATCCAAACTTCCTTTCACAACAGTTATTTTTCGTTTTTGGTCTTGAGGGAAATTTTGATGAGAGTCAGAAGTAACAAAATCCATATTTAACCTGAACAATCAGCTGAATTATGATTAATTCAATTTTCCATGACTATTTTGCCCAAGCCCTTAATATTTGTTCTTCTTATAACATCACCGACATCTTTCTGACGGTAAGACACAAAGAATGAAAAGTTTATCTAAAATAAAAAGTAGAAATTAGATTTTTGTTGAAACCCACAAACATTGACTTGTATATTGGAAACCTTTAAATAAGTCCGCAATAGTGGGAAAAAGCAAAAAAATGATGAAACTTCTTTGTTCTCAATTCTTAATGTTTAATAAAAAGTTTGAGGTTTAATATTTAGCTGAATTCCTAACATCTGGCAGACTTGCCCACAGTTTTCCTAAGGAGGGCAAACTCTCCTCATCTTGCAACCTGTACAGTGTACAGTTTAAATATTGTACTATCTATACTGTACAGTTTATTGTATTAAACAATGTAGATTGAAGTGTACAATGTACAATGTACAATGTACAAAATACTATACTATACTGTACTTCATAAAAATGGCATTTATCTTACAACTAATAGATACTACTCAAAAAAAAAAAAAAAAAAAAAATCTTCGTGGATTTTATGAAACAAATTTCGTGGATTTTCAAAATTTTATGACAATCGAATTTTGTTGGAGGCAAAATTTTGATATTTGATCATCTATAACTTTCCCAGGTCAGTAAAGTCACACAAAAAATTACGGCCCAATCGGTTTAGCCGTTTTGATCTTTATTGGATACAATTACAAACAAACAAACAGGCAACCAGACATGCATAGTATATAGATAGATATTCAATTGACTTCTTGAGTACATACATTTTCAAAATATCAAATGTCATTTAAATCCAAAAAGAACAAAAAATATTTTTTAGTTTTACAGCCAATTTCAGATATAAGGATACATAGCAAGAGCATATTAAATGTCGTCTTGAAATGTATTTAAAAGTTATTGACTGCTGTTATGCTTGATCATTGTTCTGCACATGAAGAGATGTTCGCAGCTTCAATGAGCAGGTTTAAAGAGTTAAATATGGTTTATAAAAATATATCCAAATATCATTGTAGAGTGTCCAAATTTTTTTTATAATTCTTAACAAACTACCTTTTTATTTCAAGGTTAACTAATAGCCCTGATGTATTGAGAACTGCAATGTATGTATTTCTGAAACTAGAACCTTAAGGATTAGGAGAGAGAAACTTTGATCATCTTTTGCTAAAAAATGTCTAAAATCTTAAAGGCATTCTGTCCTATTCCCGGTAGACCCAATCACTCACAACCACCAGCTACGGAACGTTGAACTATTTGCTGTCAACTATGCTAGAACGGAGAAATACAGAAAATCTGCTATTCCCTATATGCAGAGAAAATTAAACTTCCTATGATATAACCTTATCTTATTCTGTGATAAAACCCATGATATATTCAATTATATTCCTATGAGAATGTTAATCATATTATAATATGTATAATGATCTGGATTTATCTCTAATAAATCTTATTTACTTACCTACTTACTTACTTGCTTACTATATATTAGTTCTTTTCGTGGCATTTGATTTTAACGGTGCTATGGAAATGCCTCAACACGGAAACGTCTCAACGCGGAAATGCCTCAAAAACCGGTTTTGAGGAATTTCCGTTTTTTTTTGGGAAATCCCTCAAAACNAAATTTTAGGAAACGCCTCAAAATAAAGAGGAAACCCCTCAAAAACTGGGTTTTGAGGGATTTCCGTTTTTCTTGCAGAAATTGCGGAAACGTCTCAAAAAAACCGGTTTTTGAGGGGTTTCCGCTTTTTTTTGAGGCATTTCCGTGTTGAGACGTTTCCGTGTTGAGGCGTTTCCATAGCACCATTTTAACAATGTTGAGAATACATCATAAAAAAAAGCTCTTGCTATGTATCAATGTATCTGGGGATTGACTGTATATTGTTCCCCAAAGTTTTACCTTGAACTATTTACAGTCACAATGCACACACCCTTCCGACATATTTGTAAAAGTAACTGAGTAATCTAGAATAAACTTTTATAAATATATATTGAACCAATTTATTTTTAATTAACTGGAAGTATAGAAGAGAAAATAGTGTTTGTTATGGGGAAAATGTTAAAAACAAAATGTAAAAAAAATATTTAAAAAAACGTAAAAAATAGTCTTTATAAAAAGGGATTTCAAATTACATCAAAATAATGTCATTTGATGTCAGTGTCACAGCACTAACGTCGCTTGGTATACAGGGAATAATATGTTTTAGCAATATTTACTCCAGATATTTTATAAATATATTTTCCAGTCACCATTATTATAGATATGTAATCAATCAACTTTAAACTAGTTATGTTATTATGAATATGATTTTTATTCCTGGTATGTTATTATAATTGTGATTTTCATTCATATTTAGTATTGATATGTTTTAATTGATTTTATTCTTGTTATGTTATTATAAATATGATTTTTATTCCTGGTAAGTTATAATAATTGTGATTTTTAGTCATATTTAATCTTGATATGTTTTAATTGATCTCTATTCTTAATATGTTCTTATATATAGGATTTTCAGTCATATTTAATCTTGTATAAATAATATAAATATGTTTTAATTAATCTTTACTCTTGATATGTTCTTATAAATATTTTAATTGATCTTTATTTTTAATATATTATAAATATGTTTTTGAGAAATGAGATCGTGTGCACGGCTCACCTGTGTGGCAGCAGAAAATGCCGCGGTTATTTCATCATCAACAAGATGGCGGACTGGAGAGAAGAGATTGTCAAGGATAATTAATTTGAGTTCTTTCATGTCTACGGTTTCAAGGTTACTTATTTATATCCAGAATATTAAAAAATTACAGCTTATTGAAAAAATAAATTTTAAGAAGGTTTTCATCAATAGTAAGTAATCTTTCCTGTAGGAAAACTTGAAACAACATTACTAAAACAAAAATGATAAACTTTCAAGTTCTTTCCTAATTATGCATGTTTATTATTCAAATGACGGCATACCTTAAAGTGTTGATTATAGTATCTGTGCAGAATAATTTTCCAACATGGATTGAAGAAAGAAGGGAAAGGTTTGTAGGAGATCCAGTTCTAGCCTGTATTCAACCATCAAATAATCCTGTACTTGAGTAATGTCCTATCTATGATTTTGTTATCTATAAAATGCCAATCTATGATATGTCAGGAAACCATTAAGAAAACTAAGTTATGAGAAAAAACAAGGATATTTTAGTTCCTGAAGGATTTCCAGCATCCGTTCTGCAGAGAGATCATTTTTTGTGTCGATATACAGTACACTTTGTTTTCCGTGCTCCAGTGAACAGCTGACTGCTATAGTCATGCACAGCTGACTTTTACCCACACCAGGCAGACCGTACACCTCGTACACAGAACCGGTTTTAAACCCGCCAGCCAGCAGGCTGTCCAGGGCAGAACCGGTTTTGATAACACATTCTGTCTTTACTTGGTTCTGGTACAGTTCTACACACATGACAGGAAATGGGGCGAAGTCGCGGAAAAGCATGTCAACCAATTCTACAGCCTATTGAGAAAAATAATTTAAAACAAGTTAATTTCTGAAAATATCCAATAAACTAATACAAAAAATTAGTTAATCCCTTCTATAGCTACTATTATAGATACCATAAGAAAATAAATAAATAAACATCAACCTTTATTTCGTAGAAATCAAGACCGAGCCCTCCTCAAATATAACCGCAAAAGAACAAAAATTAATTTACAGTTGTTCAATGACAAAATGACAATGACAAAATGACAATGATAAAAGATGCAATATTACTACCTACTAGCTGGTATGAAATTTACCCTAACTTAAATGGACGGCAGCTCAAGCCTGAAATCTAAAAATTGAAGGATTGACAGCGATTATTAAAATTATTATTACTATTACTTAAATATTGTACAATCTACAAGTACAACCAACCATCTACTACAACCTTGTTTCAACTCTTACAAACCAGCACCTGAGTATAAGAGATGTTGAGAATTCGGGCAATAGACTCTGCTGGGTTACTGAGTAGGTCAGCCAGGGTTTCTATCTGGAATTGGGCCAATGTTTTGACCCTAGCAGGGGTCAGGGCAGGATGGGTTATCTCACTAAGATCCATTAAATGCAGTTATATCACTAGATTAAGTGTTTATCACTTTATAAAGTTTTTTTTGTCTAAATATATTTTCTCTTAGAGGACAGCTTAACAACTCGGCTGCAAAGGGTTGTAGCTCCAATAAGATTTGAGAGAATGGACCCTATCACAGCACCCAGACAGCAGGATATAGGCCAAACCTGAACAATAAATATTAGTAACATAATCCATACAATCCAATTTATACAGAAAAAAAGCAAGACCTATCTAATCCATCTCATTGGTCAAGTCATGAAATTTGACAAAGAATATATCTAACTCATTCCAATCACCTGATAATTGCCATCATACAAAGCTAATAACTTTTGAATGTATAGGGTGAGTAAAAAAGGGTGAATCAAGAGATCTTGCATATAATAAAGCATTTTTTCTTGGTAATCTCAATTTTCACAAATGTGCATGAACTTTTTGAATTTTTCTAAAGGGTCTATCAGATTGCCTTTAAAAAAAAATAAAAAAATATTATGCATATTTGTCAAAATGAGATTTTTTTGACTCACCCTGTATAAGAAGAGCAAAAGCAAATCTTAATGGTTCAAACTCAAGAAAAGAAAGAAATTTGTATGCTTTTAAAACAATTATTTATAGAAGTGAAACTTGAAACTTGAAAATAAAAATCATAGCGTATTAATAAAATATCGTTTTTAAAGGAACTGTTAAGTGATTGCTCGCATTAAACTTTAATTTTCTGATCCTTATATCTTAACAACCTGATGGCGCAAACCTAAGAACAAACATTGAAGTTTACACCATCAGGTTAAAAAGATATAGGGATTAGAAAACTAAATTTTAAGAGGAATAATCAATCCTTTGATAGAATCCCAATATAGGGAAATGCGGTTGTTTCTGTTAAATCTGGGTAACTTTGGTTCACACTATAAGTCGCAACAAAATTCTTTACAAATATAAAATATTAAAATATAAAAATGATTTATAAAGTAAATAATTGTATAAATAACTTGTTAATAATGAACAAAAAAAATGTGTAAACTTTCATCATTAAAAAAATCGGTTAATATCTAAATTAACCAAAAACAACAAACCTGCCAATCTCTGTCCCAGTCCAAGGGTATTGGGAACGCCCCCAGCCACGCCCCAACTAGACTGAAGAGGGTGTTATAGTACAGACAGGTATCCAAGGGCGGTGATCTCTAAAAAAAATTTAAATAAAATAAATTTTGAAGAATTTTCTAATATTCTTTTTTTTTACTTATGGATGTGCATGTTTTTTTTGGAAATCATATAGAATAATTTCATGAATGATGAGTTATGGAAAAATGAAATCCCTTTGTATCAAATCAAATAATGAGGTGTAAAAAGAGGCGTTTCAATTCCTCTTTGTACTTGAGGTTTTAAATTTAATGTCATATAAAAATTCATATTTTTCAATCCTATAAAATATCTAAAATGGCCTGGATCTTTGAGTTTTTATTAATGTCTTATAAAAATTCATATTTATAAATTCTATTAATGTATAAAAGGGACCAGATCTTACTGTTTTTTTAATCTCATATGAAAATTCATTTTTTCAATTTCATAAAATTTCTGAAATAACTTTAAAATATATAGAATTTATTGAGCCCGATCCATAAAATGTGCTTACGCCAAATTGAATAAGTAAAAATTTGAATAAAAAAACCCTGTAGTTAGTACCTGTAAAGGAAAGGAAGAGAAAGAAAGCCTTGGGACTTCTTCTTGTAGAAGAACCTGCTTCAAGGACTCAAAACTAAAAAAATATAAAAAATATTTAACTTTAAAGGGACCGTTAACGTAATTTCAAGTGACCCTCCAAGAACAAGAAGACCATGCTCCAGGTTCATGTTTATACCTAGTTCCTTTAGTAAGTAGTATTGGATAGGTTGATAGTAGAACAAGAAGGGCGGCGAAGGATCCAGTTTCTTGCCAATGAGTGCTGACTGGTGCACCAAAACAAACTAAAAGTAGATAAATCTTTTAACTTTCATTATCAAACAATACTTTATTGTTTTGTAACTACAACTACAGATGTACAATTGTACCACTGTACCACTGGACCACTGTACGACTGTAAAAATATACGACTGTACAGCTTTAAAACTGTACAACTGTACTACTTTACAACTGTACAACTTAAGAATTTTCCACTGTAAGAATGTACATCGGTACAACTTATAAACATTAAACAGTGCAACTGTCAACTGGAAAAACTGTACAACTGTAAAACTGTAAAACTGTAAAACTGTAAAACTGTACAACTATACAACTGTACAACTGTACAATACAAGAACTTAGTTTTATAGCTGTACACTGTACAACTTCAACTGTAGATACCTGTGACGTATGTAAGGAAGGCCCAGGAAAGGATGAGAACAAGAACCCCCTTGAGAAGATGCAGGACAGGAGTCAGGGATTGTAGAAACCTGGATCCTTTGATCCAAACCTTCCGGAGGAAAGGGCCCCTGATAGGTTTAGTATCGTGGATAGGGCCCCAGATCAGGCGTAAACTACCCGAGTGTCCTGTAAGTTGTTTGGAGAGCCAAACCTGAGAGAAAAATAAGATTTATTTATAAAACTTGAAGGGACGACTGACAGTATTTCAAGTAACCCTTTATGTTCGATGTAACACGCCCGATTCACAACGGTACCCTTTCAACTTGATAACAATGTCGCCATTCTTCTACTTCAAAAAGAAATACATTCTGTCCTATCCTTCACATAGATTTAGTCTGCTTATAAAAATCTCGTCAATTTTTTAGAGAGGGTCGAATTTGAAGTGTCGCAAAGCCCAGGGCTTTGATTTTACCGCTCTAACTCACTAATGCTTTTCTGTAGCCCTTTACATGTACATTTTAGTACCATAAACCACTTGTTGTAAGCTTTGGTGTTTAAGAAGATTGGCAACATTTTCATCGATTTTTGCTTGAGCCCTTTAAATCACAGTGCCTTCCATTATTTATACAAAGATAAAGGTATATGGAGTACTGCTGTCAATCGGACATGCAACTCTGAAAAGGATCACTTGAAATTACATCGACACTCATCAGACCCTTAAATGCAATAGTAGAAGCGTTGTCTTACAAACAAGGAAACCCAAAATTAAGAGAAAAAAATATATTAAACTTTAAAATCATTTAATTTTCCATTATTAAAACTTGACATAAATAATCTAACCTTAAGGAATTTGAAGAGAGCTGCACCTAGGAGAAACTGAGGACTGTGGAGTATATTTCCAAATGCAGAAACCCCCTCACTGATAAAAAAGGGACCGTTTAGGTAAAAGGGAACAGGGGTATGGAATGAACTATGATTAAATTTGTTTGTTTTTAATCTTTGTGAAGAAACAATCTCAAGAGCTGACGAGGGTCAACCCAGACCGAAATATATTTTCAATAAATGTGGAACTAACATCTACTTTTTTACTCTACAGAGGTTTGGTCCATCACCATCACCGAATTTTAAATTTTTAATTGTTTAATGAAATTAACAGTAGAAAATCACTAAAAGCTTTTTTACCTTTTCCCTTTTCAAAATAAAAACAAACAACAATCTAAAAAAAACCATTTTAAGGGAACTCTAGACGTAATTTCAAGGGACCTCTCATTTAAACAATAAAATGTTCAATTCACAACGGTACTCTTAACAGCTTTGTAGATTCAGTAATGGGAAAATTATTAGAATTTAACCCTTTTTAAGATAGAAATATGTCGATATCTTCAATGCTATTGATCAGACAAAGCTTTAAATGGTACCGTTGTGAATTAGACTATGTCATCTGTTCATGGAGGATCAGTTAAAATTACACCTACAATCCCATTAGGTTATATTTTCACTGTTTAATTTGACCCTACCAGAGCACGAAGACTAGAACCAGAATTCCACTTGATAGGAAACTGAATACACAATAGTAGAAGGAGAACTTCACCTAAAATACAAGAGAGCAAATGTAGTATTCACATTTTCGAGTATTTAGAAATGCTGAATTTAATTATTTTGCCACTATCTATTTGTAATTTTTTGCTTGTTTGTCTGTCTGATTGTTTGTATCCAATAAACGTCAAAAATGCTGAACCGATTGGGCCCTGTGACACCTCACATGAAACCAGGAAAGGTTTATAGAAAATCAGAATTTCAAAAAGTTGTTCCCAAAAATTTTTGTTTTTGTGTAAGATTTTGAAAATCCAGGAAAAAATATTGTGAAATCTGCGAACTTTTTTTGTTTGTTTTTGTTTTATATTGTACAAAGAGAAGATGCTCACAGATAGAGCCACAATCAAAAGTTAAAATAGAAGATGGCCGCGAAAAAGCCAAACCATTATATTAAATTATATGAGGAGGGACCAAAATATAATTAAGATGTTTATTTTGTATTGTATTATTAAAAGAATTTTTTTTACTTCAAACAGAAATTAAGGCAAATTATCTATGAAAGGTAATTTCCATTAATTTGTATCTATATACCCAAATATAATACTTTAAATATTGACTTTATATTTGGCAACATAATATTTTTAAATACTTTTTAACGGTTTATGTATGGCGTTAAGCTTTAATCCTACCTCTGCATTGTCATTCCCAATGAGCTCAGAGACCATGATTGATTTTTGATTTTTTGTATTTTACATATTCAAAATCAAAATGGCCTCCAAAATATGGCCTGCTATTGTTGGCGATGTCGTCTTCTATATAAGACTTCAATATCTGTCTATTCAAATCAGAACCCTTGATAATAAAAAAGAAGAAAAAAAAGAAAAAAAGGCTTATAAACTTTACCCTTTTAAAGCAATTTAAAACTAATATTATCCTGGTTCAATTCAATGTCTAATACAGGGTAACCCACAAAGGATGAGACTTCAGAAACGATTGTACGGTATTAGTTTGGTCCGATTTCTTGCAGTGAGGGTTCCTTATAGGCAATAACTGGCTAATTTCTGTACTTGACAATTTAGTAACCCCTCAAAATACTCAATTGAATGCAGAAACTAAAAATCAAGCTTCAAATCTTCATATTTTTTAGAGATTTGGGTCGTCTTTACAGTCTCATCCTTTGTGGGTAATCCTGTAATTGCAACTTTTGTATATTTCAAGGGACTTCCTAACTTTTGCTTTGTATTTACGCAGCAAAAGCAAGGTGGAAAAAATACATTACTTATTTTGTTTTGACATAGATAAATGACTACACTAGGTCTTTTTATTGTTATTCACATAAATGAAGGGTTCAAGGCCGAAGGGTGTAAAACGGGCATTTAACTTTAGTCTGCAGTCGCTTTAATAAAAAACAATTCTTTGTTCACTCCAGGGCTAGATTCGAACCTTGATTGTGTCTGGCAATTCTAACTCTTGAATGTCGTCTTTATTTCTTACCAGGTTGACAACTCGACTTATCACCAACAACCTGTAGTAAAAATTCCAAGTTAACCTAATGTAAATTGCATGAAGTATTAAAATCTAAAAAATTTTAACCATAACTCCTCTCGTTAAACAGCAGTTAAGAAGAATAAAAACGTTTTGAATTTCTAATATGTAACCGGAAAATTTGCTTTTTAATACTGAACGTAAAAACTAGATGAGCTACGATGTCACAAAGTCGTAGCAGTAATGACCTTCTGCCTGGTTTGCAGTGCTTAGGCTTTATAATTAAAAAAAACATCTTTGATAGTTTAATGAACGTTTAAATAAGTAAAAATGATGTAAGACGACCAACAAAATTTCAAGAAAAATCAAAATGATTCCAGTTATTCTTAGATGACCACAGATCAACTAACATAACCTTATTAAGCGAGAAGAAAAAGAAGAAAGCTTGTCCTGTTCTTCAGATAAAACATCTAAGTGTGGGACGAATCCCATTTGCTGGTCAAAAATGACCGGATGACCAATATTATGACCTATGATGACCCAAAATAACCTTTGAAGACCCAAATATTTCAAGATGACCCATATGGCCTACAATGATGACCTCAATGACCTAAGATGACCCCGACTTTAATTCCCCAAGATGAATATAATGAGTTTAGATGAATCCAATGACCTTAGATGACCCCAACGACTTTTTATGACCCCAATAACTTTATATGACCCCAGATCAGATAGTCGACAAAAGGGCAAAATAATCTTATTTTTACCTAAGCGAATGAACTGGATAAATAGACGGGACTATGGGCACATTGATTAGTTGGGATCCCTCCAGAATACGAGCACGGTCAGTATTCCTGAACAATAAATACACTGTACAATAACCAATATATTACATAACAGAGGCGTACACAGAGGGGTTTTGCTCAATCTCCTCCTCCGTGGATAAGTAAAATTATTGTTTTCCTGTGAGGTTTTAGGTCCAAACGTGTGCTGAGCCGTCCAAGAAAAAAAAGCTTCCATGAAAGATGCCTGTATAGTGTGTACGACCCTAGTAGAAAAATCCCTCTTTTTGATCCGAAGTCAAAACGGCAGAACCAGTCCAACTTTTAATGACCCAAGGAATGGTTTCTGAACCGTCAGAAAAGAAAAGAAACCGTGAACGTAATTATTACCTAAGTCCAGAGTTCAAGGAAAGAAATCTATGAGCTTCAAAACAGCAGACTCTGGCTCCAGCCACTTGTACAGCTCTTTTCTAATCACAATCAAAATAGATTAAGAACGTTTTTTAACTTAACGAATCTTATACAATTGAAAAGGTTTTTTTAATTTTTATGATAGGAGATGCATTGAATTTAATCATATTTGTAAACCTTAACCAACAACTCCAACGTCAAAACGGCTGAACCGATTGGGTCAATTTTTTTTTTGTGACAACTCATATTAAGGTTTGTAGACGTTCAAAAATTGAAAAATTTTGCATCAAAAAAAATTTACGGTTTTTGAAAATTCCATAATTTAACAAAAAAAGTAGAGAAAATCGTTTGTTGGTCAGCACTCAGCAGGACTTGGTGGCTTAAGAAGCAAAAATTACAAAGGTAAAATTGCTTTTAAGAAAGAATTACAAAGACCCTTAGAAATCAAGAACTCTAAACCATAAAAAAATACGAAAAAAATGTTATAATGATGGCTAATTCCTCAATTAATGTTTTGTATACAATCTCTTTAAGTACCTCGTCTGTCTGATAATTGTAGAAGACCCAAGGATGCGTCAGAAAGGTTGTCACATTGTATCTAATAATATTCTAGAATTAAAATATATCAACAATATCTCTATATGCTTGATCACTCAACTCTGTAAAATTACAAGATCCTCAAACCTAATATCGGCTGGGAGTAACTCTTCATTGATAATGATAATGATAATGAACTTATTTTGCTCCGGTTTATTCTTCACAATTCCATCTTTATAGGAATTCATCCCATATTCATGCAATCTATTGTTATCTTTTTTAATCGAAACCAGAAGTAAATATAAATCAGAACAACATCATAATCCTAATTATTATCATTTAAAGAGACTGTAGACTTATTCAAGTGGCTCACTATTTATAGACTGGCATGTCAGATTCACATCAGTGGCTTTATAACATCTGTCTGATCAAGGTTAAATTATTTATCAATGTTTAAAAAACGGTTTTTAATTTGTGGTTTCTCTGATAAAGTAACTTATAAAAACATTTTTGTTAGAAAACACCGAATTTCCAAGTTATTGATAATAGTTTGAAAAGAACAGTTGTGAATCAGGCATGCCTTTCTTCAAATGAAAGTTTTCTTAAAATAACGAAAAGAGTCTGACGTCACATTATTGTTAACAACTAAAGGGAGTGTTCGCAAAAAAATGAAAGTGGGTATAGGCTTAATGCGATAAAAAAGCGCTATATACAAATGTGGCGAAAGATAATCGAGGACTATAGGTTTTAATATCTGAATGATTTGTTTGAAATTTAATTGATTTTTTTTACGGTCTAAGTCGTATGTTGCAATTTTCTCATTTTGTATGGGCGCTACGTTCTTCGGTATGAGACGTCTTAAATAATTTTCTCCTTATAGACGCAACAAATAGTAGAGTAGTTGCGATCAAAAGCGCTTTTTTATCGCATTAAGCCTATACCCCCTTTCATTTTTCGCAAATACTCCCTTAAGTAAATGAATTTTTATATTTATTTCTACTTTATTCTGAATAGTCTAGCATCTATAACAGAGCACTGGGTCATAAAAAAATCATCATCTCAGAAGAAAAATAAGGAATCCTATAAAAACGAATCCCATTGCAAAAACATTAAAAATTCCACTATCAAGCTTGGCATTGGCGTGTGTGGATTGATTCATGGTGCTCCTGACCCCGCCACTGGAGGTACCAGTTGATACCTTCTTCTTAAATTCTTGTTTTCTCCTGTACAAAGCATACAATCATTAAAAGCATTTTCTGTTTGTTAAATTATTTGTTTGGTTCCAATAAATCTGAGAAAGATTTTTCAGGTTCAAAGAATCAATACTTGAAGAAGTAACATCAGAATGGTTTTATTGGTATTGGGGTTTTCCATTTTCTTAAAGACCTATATATATATTTGAACTTTGGAGGGGGTTTAATTAACAATCAAAACAGGGGGCTTTGCAGTGCGCAAAATTATCCTATTGACGTCTAAATTTACCTGGGAGAAAAAGAGCTTCCTTTTTAGTTCCATTAAAAAATCAACAAACAGAAACTAAGAGTTTTTTAAACCTTCGCTTCACTGACCTCAAACTTTTTCCGGAACACCCTGTTGTACTTTTTGAACTTTAATAACAATTTCGATGTAAAAAACTCAACAGCCAATTAAACAAAAGATTGAAAAGCTTCCTGAATGAAATTGTTCTACTATTACTGACATATTGATCTAGATCTTTAGATCCTCCTGGTTTACCCTCACGACCAGATCTAGCTCCATAGAACACTTCCTAGACATTACAGGGTGAATATTTATCCTCCAGGTTTACCCTCACGACCAGATCTAGCTCCATAGAACACTTTCTAAACAGGGGTGAATATTTATCCCCCAGGTTTACCCTCACGACCAGATCTAGCTCCATAGAACACTTCCTAAACATAACTGGGGTGAATATTTATCCTCCAGGTTTACCCTCACGTCCAGATCTAGCTCCAAAGAACACTTCCTAAACATTACAGGGGTGAATATTTATCCTCCAGGTTTACCCTCACGACTAGATCTAACTCCATAGAACACTTCCTAGACATTACAGGGGTGAATATTTATCCTCCAGGTTTACCCTCACGTCTAGATCTATCTCCATAGAACACTTCCTATTACAGGGTGAATATTTATCCTCCAGGTTTACCCTCACGTCTAGATCGAGCTCCATAGAACACTTCCTAAACATTACAGGGTGAATATTCATCCTCCAGGTTTATCCTCACGACCAGATCTAGCTCCAAAGAACACTTCCTATACATTACAGGGATGAATATTTATCCTCCAGGTTTACCCTCACGAGGAGATCTAGCTACAAAGAACACTTCCTATACATTACAGGGATATTGAATATTTATCCTCCAGGTTTACCCTCACGTCCAGATCTAGCTCCATAGAACACTTCCTAGACATTACAGGGATGAATATTTATCCTCCAGGTTTACCCTCACGACCAGATCTAGCTCCATAGAACACTTCCTAGACATTACAGGGGTGAATATTTATCCTCCAGGTTTACCCTCACGACCAGATCTAGCTCCATAGAACACTTCCTAAACATTACAGGGGTGAATATTTATCCTCCAGGTTTACCCTCACGTCTAGATCTAGCCACATAGAACACTTCCTAAACATTACAGGGTGAATATTTATCCTCCAGGTTTACCCTCACGTCCAGATCTAGCTCCATAGAACACTTCCTAGACATTACAGGGTGAATATTTATCCTCCAGGTTTACCCTCACGTCTAGATCTAGTTCCATAGAACACTTTCTATACACTACAGGGGTGTGCACTGTATATAATTAAAACAATTTTGAAGATCTGGGGGAACAAAATGAAAATTTGTTCATGAAGTTTTTCATCCTTTTTCTTACTTTTCACCCAAAAAAAACTGTTTATTTTCCCTAATTAAGCAAATAAAACGCTAGACATTATTTGTACCAAACTTCTGAAAAAAAAATCATTTTCAGGAAAACATAAACCCCTGACCTGCAACAACAGTTCAAATTTATTTTCAAAATTACTTTTTTCTCTGAAGCGTTTTTTGAAATTCCAAGGGCAACACCGAGCACTTCAGCTGGTAATTATTATTATCATCATTATCATCATTATCATCATTATCATCATTATCATTATTATCATCATTATCATCATTGTCATCATTGTCATCATTGTCATCATTGTCATCATTGTCATCATTATCATCATTATCATCATTATCATCATTATCATCATTATCATCATTATCATCATTATCATCATTATCATCATTATCATCATTATCATCATTATCATCATTGTCATCATTGTCATCATTGTCATCATTGTCATCATTGTCATCATTGTCATCATTATCATCATTATCATCATTATCATCATTAACATCATTATCATCATTATCATCATTATCATCATTAATATCATTATCATCATTATCATCACGATCATCACGATCATCATTATCATCATTATCATCATTATCATCATTATCATCATTATCATCATTATCATCATTATCATCACGATCATCATTATCATCATTATCATCATTATCATCATTAACATCATTAACATCATTATCATCATTAACATCATTATCATCATTATCATCATTATCATCATAAAAATCGTTATCATCTTATTTTTATTGTAACTATAACTATTATTATCATTATTGTTGTCACCAACCTTATCAAATGAATGTGAAGCCTGTTCCCTTTCAGCCACAGAACTGGATCTGCCCAGCACTCCTTTATCATATTTAGCACGCTGCGCCGGATTACTAGAATATTAACCGCTTTAAACTAACTTAGAAGGGTTTCATTTAAAAAAACATCATTTTTCAGATTTAGAATAAATGAGTTAAGTTATTGTTCTATTTGAAAATTGATCATTTTCACTCAGTTCTGGTTTCTCTGTAAAAGTGACTTGCAAGTTGCAACGCAGAAACGCTAACCTTTAAAGCTACTTGAAATATTCTTCTAGTCCATTTGAAATGTTTTTTGATAGATCAAGCATTGAAAGTATAGATTTCAACACATTTGTTCAATTTTTTCTTGATAAATTAAGCATAACATAAATAATAATGCCTTTAAAGTTTTTCTTGATATGTTAACCTTTAACAGGCGTCAAACCCCATCCCCCCGGACCCCACTCTTTAACAGAATATGNCATTGAAAATCTAGATTAAATAATAATGCCCTAGAAGCTTTCCCTTGATTTATCAAGCATTACAAATCTAGATTACAAGGTCTTGCCCTTAAAGTTGACTATGAACTTAAAGTTAAATTACCTTAGAACTTCATATGCCTCCGACATACTTTGAAACTTCTTTAATGCCTCATCATTATCAGCATTTGTATCCGGATGATACCGTTTAGATAGTTTATAGAAGGCTTCTTTAACTTCCCGCGAAGTAGACTGAAATAAAATCTAGATATTCTGGCATTCCATTACTAATGATTAACATGTTAAGGGAATATGCGAGAGCTTGCACTGGTATCTTTGCTACGGGCACAACATGTGAAAAAACGACAAGAAATGAACTATAGAATTATCTCAAATATATTACACGTGATAATTACGAGAATTAAAATATAAATATTCTGGCATTGCATTACTCGAGTTTAACACGATAGGAATATGCAAGATCTTGCACTGGTTTATTTTTCTACATGTACAACATGTGAAATAACGACGAGAATTTTCAAAGAATATTTTCGCATTTTTTACCCGTGCTGTACACAGGAGGAATCTTCAAGATTGTGAAAAGTAGATTTACCACGACTATAACACAAGGAGGGTCCGTGAATTAATTACGTGAATTATCAACCAGTTCTCCATCATGCTAATCTCGTTGAAAACCTGTGTTTTGTTTGTTGGGTGATTAATATAAAATATTTTCACTTTATTGATTTAAGATTTTTATAAAAGCAAGTCTCTTTTCCTACCTGAGGATGTATTTCTAGTTTGTCGTAAAAAGTTTCTTCTTCAAAATGTGTTGACCCAACACGAAAACTGGTTCCTGGACTGCTGTGAAATCCACGAGATAGTTGACAGCCGCGTACACTTATTAAAGATTGCCGCATTCCACACATAAAGCAACTGATATTTTTGTTTTACATCTCACAAAGGTTAACAAAATATTGGTAGTTTAATTGCTAGCTATAAATCTAAAAAAAAAATTTCTTTGCAAAACATGAAATTCCTAGCGTGAGTGGGCCAGTATTCAGGGCTGAATATTCCTGTTCTTCCTCCCGCTAAACCTAAGAAAAGAAATATTCAACCCTGATAATACATTAAGACTACAATGCTAAGCTAACGATTTTAATAACAAGTGGCAGTAACAGAGCCTAAAACCACAATCTTTTCTTAAAAATGCGCCAAACGCTGAAAATTTAATAAGATAAAAATGAGCCGTATAAACAAAAAGGAAGAGCTGCCAGTCTATAATGATCAAGCATATAGATTAGCCCCACTAAACATTTCATAATGTTTTTAAATTTCATTCATAGTAAAAAACCCTAACTTACTGTTCTCTGGATTGCAGTACGGTATACTGTATCTCTTGACCTGAGTAGTCCAACCACCGCACAGAAACCGGTTTACAGCACAAGTTTGTAAACCTGAAACGGGTTTCGAGGTTCATGATAAACAGTTTTTTAGATGCATAAAAGCCAGGTCTAAAGGTTCAGAAGATAACCTAAATTGGCTTAAGGTTCAGTACAAATCACAAGGTATAAAGTTCATTACATAATACAAGGTAAACGCTTCAGTGCATAAAACAAGGTTTACAGGTTCAGCACATTAAACAAGGTTTACAGGTTCAGTACATTAAACAAGGTTTACAGGTTCAGCACATTAAACAAGTTTACAGGTTCAGCACATTAAACAAGGTTTACAGGTTCAGTACATTAAACAAGGTTTACAGGTTCAGTACATAAAACAAGGTTTACAGGTTCAGCACATTAAACAAGGTTTAAGGTTCAGCTGTAAGAAACAAGTTTACAGGTTCAGTACTTAAAAAAAAGGTTCAAGGTTCAGTGTAACGTAAAAAACAGGGTGCATAACTCGGTACATACAAAGTAGCAGTACTTAATATCCTCTCTTTCAAACTCAGTTCATTTAGACGTGGATCCTAGATCCGCCCAACAAAAAAATGGCTCCGGATCCAGTTCATGTACATTTTTTAAAGATTTAATATTTGTTTTAACAAAAGAAGTATTTTCACAATACTTTTTCTTCATTTTTATATGCTGAAACGTGATGACCCACGCAGAAACATAGAAATTTTAATAATCTTTTTTTCAACAGTAAAGATTGGTATTTGGAGAGCACACATTTTTTACACAGTTTTGGGTTGGTACTTATGGCCTTTAGATCCGTTTTTGGTATTTTTCAGGTCTGTACATAACAGGTTTTAAAGGTTATGTACAAGTAGGCAAGTATAAGGTTAAGTACATATTACATAAAACATAAAAATTGAAAGTTCAAGACTTAAAAATATGTTTAAGAGTGCATATTTAATAATAATAAAACACTGGCAAGTTTCAAAGGAAAAAACTACTTGCAACCGTGCCTCTGACCTGACTTGAACTGAAGTAGTACCATTCTGACTTCGGTCTAGAAGACGAAACTGCTCAAGGATACCACCAGGATCTAATCCATCATCTCCTAAACTCATTCTCATAGAACATCATATCCTTAATATCTGAAATAATTCACGGTTTCATATTTATCCAGGTTTATTTTTAGTGTTGTTAGAAGTACATTCCTGATGTTTCCTGTCCTGAAAAACTTTCTTTTATTTATTTTTCTTAGCAAGAATTTCGGGTTTCTTTCCTGAGAATTTCTTACATTGATTAACTATTACAATGTTTTGTAAATAACATATGATAGGTTACATCAAATCACTCCGCGGCAAAACTTGGTCTTTGAGCACAGTACAAGTGCACATATCACTGCGCGGCAACATTGTTGAATCCCACGTGTTCCTGCTGATCTCTGGCCTGGCACTTCACGCTTATATTTGCCTTCAGGATTGCAGATCGTAGAACTATGCTGCGCGCTCTGAAAAATATGCAAGATTTTTGAAATTATTCTCCAATTTTTTATTTCCATAATTTGGCTAAAATAAATGTATCAGATATTTAAATGACATTTCTTATCGCAAAGTATTATGAACACTCGGCAGTAAATTTTAAATGGGGGGAAATATTCCCACAACCTCTAATTTTAGAGGTTTTTAAATATTTTCTCCTGAAACACTTAACTTTGTAAGTTTTTGTTATATTTCATAAATAAATAAATATTTTACTTTACCTTCTTGTATAGAGGTCTGCTGTCTCTATTGCCTTCTCGAATGTCTGACTACGCTGATCTACATCTTGGGCCAACAGAACCTTGTTATGGGAGTCAATACGCGCCTAAATGTTCAAATCAATTACATTTGATTATTGAAAATTAACCTTTGATTTTTTTCACCTGAATAGATCCATCTAGAATTAGTTTCATAAGTTCATCTTCTAGGTTTGCCACGTTGGTGTTAAAACTGTCCGCCATCTTGAACAGATCAGCAGACAAGTAGGGGCTAAAGTACTGCACCAGACCACGGTTTCTTCAATCAGATATTAATTAAATATTTATAATCAATCAAACAAAAAATAATAATAAATTATTATTACTTAACATACATTATCATAACTGAAGTGATTGATCAATATCTTCATTTATTGAATTATAAATTTCTATTAATAACTGAATAATTACTATTTGATTTTCAGAAAAAAAAATAATATTTTATGACGAATACCTGATCATAGAGAAAAGAGTCTGAACATGTGGCGCAAGGTAAATATCCAGAAGAAAATTGTCCTAAAGAAAAAAGGTATTTGAAATCTGGTCAATAAAAAACTAGGTACAAGGACAAAATTTTGATTCAAACCTTTAATTCGTCAAGAAGCTTAAGACACTGGCCATATTTAGAATCATAGAAGCACTGAATAACTTCTCTTAACTGCGGCTCAAGTTCAAGGAACAACTGAAAAAATATATAAAATGATTTTTGTTTTATTAAAAAACAGATTTGCTTTAAACAGTGATTTTTGGAAAATTCTAAAGGAATCATTTTTAAAGAGTCACATAAAACATTAATTGGTCTTTCGACTATTATGCATGTATTTTGGCGTTAAAATGAGTTCCAACCGGAAGTGGCACGCACTGTACAAAACATCATATTAAATCAAACTTTAAGGGCTGTCCTACTTCCATTCTACTCTAGGCATTATTTCAATTAATCTAGATCTTTTCTCTCTCAGGGGTTGCTGTTGTTGATTGGCTTACCTTAAACTGTGAAGAAGAAATGACCAACTTAAAGAGCTCGGCCCGGTCAAAGGTGGCCAGAGCGGTCAAACCCCCGTACATGGCGACATTATGAGGCGACATTAGGTCGGGACAGTCGCAGTAGTCGAGGTTGGCCTCCAGGAACTGTCGAGCCGCTGCTTTATACTTCCTAGATAAACAACCAAAATAATATATTATTACTGTAATGACATTTCTTACAATTTTTGAATTGTATCCAAAGCCTTATCAATAGAATAGTTGGGTTGGTATAAGCAAATTATTAAATTATCAGTCTAATAATAATAAGAACTCGTATATTTAGTTAGAGAAGAACAGAAATCACTTTTGCTTTACAATTGGATCGGATCAGAGAGAGATCCTAAAATCAAAACTGATGAAAACCTTTAAAAAACTTAGTCTTTAATTTTATAGTTGACTGACCTCGTCATAAGATCGGCGAGACCTCCGGCGCACTTGAGTTTTGTGATGAGAGCAGGCTGGTCAACGTTCTTCTGGTTTGGTTCAGCCAGGTCAGGAGTAGCTAGAGCCTTGTTCACGTAGCTCATCACATGGGACCAGTTCTAGAACAAAAACACTACAATATCATGATGATTGTAATAAAACTTCAACAATCAGAAATTGTAAAAAATAAAATAACTGTTTTCTAAAATAACTTTCATCTAAAAATCTATTTTTAGAGAAACTACAATTTCAAATTATTAATTTTATCAGATGGAAATATAAAATGCCACTTTTATCTAGACCAACATTTAAAGGGTACCATTGGGAATCTTAGAGGCCTCATGACCCGATACTAGGGACATGAGCTAGTAAAAAAGTAAATATTGTGAATCAAAAACACATTTTTTTTAAATTAAAGGACACTATGCATTAAGATGAATAATTATTATTATTGAAAATATAGAAGTTTAATCAAATCAAAAATAGAGTTCGCTTGCTGATTACTGCATTCAATTTGAAAGCTGACTTTTCATTATAACACAAAATTCACGTACTTTCAAAAATAAAATAAAATTTTTTTGACAACATTAAAATGACAAAACTAAAGTGGCGATTGTTAATCAAAATGTGTTTACCTGAAGATAAACTGAAACCTTGATTACATTTGCGCACATGCTAACAACATGTCGTCCAGATGTGCAGTAATCCCTAAATAGAACAAAATCTAAGGTAGGAACTTAAGTCTGTAGTTCAACTGATCTTCATAGTCTGTCTCTTTGTGTATAGGTCAGTTTATCTTAATCATTTCACATGACCTAGTCTTAGTTTCATGAAACTGAATTTTAGTTCTAATCTATGTTTGCTAATTGCTACCACTAACGACATTTTCAACAATTTTTTATATAAAAAATCTTTAACTTCTGTCCCCACTGTACAGTTTATGCACTGATTTTACCGTACAGTACACGGTGTACTGTACGGTTTACGTACAGGGTGTACCGTACAGTTTACGTAAAGGGTGTACTGTAAGTTTACGTACAGGGTGTACAGTAAGTTTACGTACAGGGTGTACAGTAAGTTTACGTACAGGGTGTACTGTACAGTTTCCGTACAGGGTGTACTGTATGTTTACGTACAGGGTGTACTGTACAGTTTACGTACAGGGTGTACTGTAAGTTTACGTACAGGGTGTACCGTACAGTTTACGTACAGGGTCGTACAGTTTACGTACAGGGTGTACTGTACAGTTTACGTACAGGGTGTACTGTACAGTTTACGTACAGGGTGTACTGTACAGTGTACGTACAGGGTGTGCTGTACAGTTTACGTGCAGGGTGTACCGTGTCCATACCTGGCTCTGCTGTAGCACTTCAGTGCGTTTCCTAGATCTCCGCAATCTAGGAAGTGATCTCCAAGATCATCATGCCCACGTCGGATAGACTCCTAGATTAATCAATATCATTAAGACTTAGTTTATTAAATCAGGCATTAAGACCAAATTAAGATTGACTTAGGTTTTGAAATAAGTTATCCAAATAAAGAACATTTTAAATAGTCTGAGGTATTTAACATTTTATCAAATCAAATCAAATCAAATCAAATCAAATCAAATCAAATCAAATCAAATCAAATCAAATCAAATCAAATCAAATCAAATCAAATCAAATCAGATCAAATCAAATCAAATCAGATCAGATCAGATCAGATCAAATCAAATCAAATTATATTAAATCATACTCTGCAGGGATTTGGTCAAATGTGTTGGTATCTCCGTCAATTTTTGGATGAACACAAAATTGTCAGATCACGTTTTGATAATCCCAAAACAACGTTTTAAAATTTCTCATTAAAGTATCTTGTCAGTAGATATATCAAAAAACGAATTATTTTATATTATCTCTAAAGTTTGCCTTGATGCTGTTGGATTTGTAATTCTTCAGATCATTATCCAGTTTTTCAAGTTTCATCTGAGCACTCTTATTCCTAAATAAGAATACTTTACTGAACTTATACCGAATTTCTTTCATTTCCATTTATTTACACTTTACAGATACATATTTTGTAAATTCGAAATATTTATAATTTTAAAAATATAAATATTAAAATCTTTATAACTTCAAACGAAATCATTCTCTATGAGTCAGAGTTTCAAATCCGAACTGAGACAAACAAAAAAGCTTTCGAATAGAAAGACGACATTAAAGCAATCTTGTACTTTTTAGATATTGTTCTAATGCAAATAGTTTAAACGTTAAAAAAGCAATACACCAACCTTGAGTCAACCCAGTTCAAATCCAGTGCTGGAACAGCCCCGGCAGCTGCCAAGCCGTGGTCAGCAGCTGCAACGGCTATATCCGGTAGAACCGGCACAGCTCCATTAGCTGCGCCGCCCACGCACTCTGCTAGCTTCCGGTGGAGGCGTTGGTAAATACCAGTGTTGTATGTGTTTATTACACAACTGAAATATTAGAAAAATTATGTAGAACTGGATAATTCTAAAAAAGGAAGTCCAATGATTTGTTCTACATGTAGAGAGTTAAAGGAACGGTCATGTTGTAATCTCAAGTGAACCTCCATTTATAATGAAGCATAAGCTACAACGGTTTCCTTTAAACACTTTTCTGATAAATAAATCAAAAAGTTGCTTATGCTGTCATTATCAGAAAGATCCGGAATTAATGGACAGTTAATCAGACGTCTGGCAATTTTAAATGCTTAAAAAAGGCAGACCACAATTAGGAAATGGCAGCAATATAAATGATTATCGTTTAATCAATTATATTTGCAAAATTAGATTGTAAATTCGTCTGATTAATTGTAACATGAAATTTAGAAGAAGGTATCTCATTCATTCTTGATGAGAAAACGCTTTAAAGAGTCTCGTTTCATACACACATGCAACTCTATTTATTTAGCGTCACTTAAAATTACGTTTACAGTCCCTTTAAACTATAATTACGTCTACAGTCTCTTTTAAACTAACCTTATCGCTAGTTTAAGAGCTTCTGCTCTAAGAAGCGGGCAGTGCTCTGCAATAAACTGGAGACGTTGTAGTTTAGCAAGACCAGAATACGAGGAGGCATATGTCTAAATCAATTAATCAATTGTTTAGATGATAATCAATCAATCAATTAATCCATCCAACATCCAGACCAGAATATGAGGAAGTCAAAATCAATCAATCAATTGTTTAGTCAATCTACCAATCCATCTAACGAGGGGAGGAAGGCCAACCACATCAATCTCTAGTCCGAACCACATTCTCCTCATTTTCTAGTCCGAACCACATCGAAATCCTCGTCCTTTCAATATTATTTTGTTTAAAGTGTCCGATCCTTGAAAATAAATACATTTTTTAAAAATATGGCGACGTTAGGGCATAGATGAAATATCAAATTTTCCCAATTAAATTTTAGATTTGTGTAAAAATGAAAATGCTCCATAAACCATGTTCTACAAAAAAGCGTCTGTAAAGAGCCCCTTCTTTCGCGGAAAATGCCACAAAACATTCTTAAACTCGATGTAAACAACTTTTTGTAATATTCCAGCTGAATTTGGGTTAGAGATATGACTTACAATTTTTATTTGATTAAATACTGTTTGAATTCATAGGGTTGTGACCAATTAATTGTAGCAAATGATTTGAATAATATAAATTGAACATTATTTTTCTATAATTTTAAGCATGCGGCAGGCAGTAGTGATCTCTTAGTGGGGACAACAAATCTACCTTATTTGTAAATAAATCAGAAATCAATAATTATTTTGTATGGGTTGAAATGGAAAGATTAAAGAACATGTTCACGCGAATTCTTTGGTGTAAATTTTTATTTGTGAAAGTTATCCATTTTGGAGGCAGAAGAGATTCAATTTTTAACCTAAATAATGTTTGACATCATTCTCGTGGATTTGAAGATTCCAACATCTCAAAATCCTTGGAAAACTTTATTCTAGTCATTTTTTATGCCCTAACGTCGCCATATTTTTAAAAAATGTATTTATTTTCAAGGATCGGACACTTAAAAAAAATAATATTGAAAGGAAGAGGATTTCGAGGTGGTTCGGACGAGAAAATGATAAGAATGTGGTTCGGACTAGAGATTGATGTGGTTGGCCTTCCTCCCCTCATCCAACACAATCGGAAGAGACAATTAATCAATTAACCAATCAATATAATTAATCTAATCAAGTAATTCATCCATCATCAATCAATTATCCTGCTTAAAGGGAGTGTTCGCGAAAAATGAAAGGGGTATAGACTTAATGCGATAAAAAAGCGCTTTTGATCGCTTCTGATCTTACTTATCTGTTGCGTCTATAAGGAGAAAATTGTTAAAAACAACTAATACCGAAGAACGTAGTATCCATACAAATTCAGAAAGAAGCAACATACGACTTAGACCGTAAAACAATCTATTTAATTTCAAACAAATCATTCAGATATTACACCCTACTAATAAGTTAAAAAGTATATTTAAAGTGTTCCAGTATTACTGACTGTATTTAATTAACTCATTGGCAAAATGGAATGAAGGCACCTGGCGAATTGAAATGACGATCACGGCAATCCCAGTAAGAACATTCAAATTTGCAGGTACAATAAATTAAAAAGTTTTATTTACCGGTTCATTACTGAACTTTCCCTGGTCAGGATTACTTAAACCAACCAACGAACCAATCAATGGAAGTGTGTACCATATCCTGTAAGTGCTTGCAAAGCACCCCCTTTATTTCTCCCCTAGTATCCACGCTTATCTGGCATACACACTGAATCCTAAAAATTCAGGCTAGATCTGAACCACTAGATCCCATATAGACCAGGGAAAGTGGCGGAGCTCAACCCTATCTTCAATGTGTTCCAGCCTACAGGTCGTAATACGTTGTCTGTAGGTTGATTGTTAATAATAATAATAATGGTCATCGACTATCTTTTGCCATATTTGTATATAGTTGATTTTTCATAATATGTTTTGATTTTATTTTTTAAAATAACATTTAGCTTCCAACTTGTTTTCGAACATTCCTGGAAAATATGAAAATGTCGTCTTCATTACCAAAAATCCTCGAAACAGGAATAAATGTTTTTATAAGTAACTCTCAGATCATAATATTTAAAACATTTTATGAAAAATCAACTATATACAAATGTGGCGAAAGATAATCGATGACCATAGGGTGTAATATCTGAATGATTTGTTTGAACTTAAATAGATTTTTTTTATGGTCTAAGTCGTATGTTGCTTCTTTCTGAATTTGTATGGATTCTGCGTTCTTCGGTATTAGTTGTTTTTAACAATTTTCTCCTTATAGACGCAACAGATAGAAGTAAGATTAGAAGCGATCAAAAGCGCTTTTTTATCGCATTAAGCCTATATACCCCCTTTCATTTTTTGCGAACACTCCCTTTAATTAATAACTTTTTTCTTCTATTGTTTTACGTGAGTTGGCAATAAAACTATGGAGAAGGGAGGCAGGGTTGGGTCTGTTAATTAATCCAAAAGTTGAAATTTAAAATTCCAGAAATGTTCAATAGTAAAATAATTTTTACTTCAAGATCCAGACTCGGATTGTCCACGGTGAATAGTTCTTCTTCATTCTCTTCTCCTGCAACATCATTCTCATTCTCCTCTCCCATATCAACCTGGACAGTGGACAACCTTGTCTTGAAATCTGATGAGAGTGACCCTCCATGCAAAGATGGCAATGACAGATTCACAACGATACCCTTAAAGGCTTTGTCTGATCAAGTTTAAACTTAAAATTTTGAAAACTATTTTTATTTATGGTTTCTCTATACAAGTGACTTAACCATTTTTACTGTTGGAAAACAAATAAGAAAATTTAACACTTTTAAACCTAGAAAAACGACATTATCTTTCACATTTTTGACCAGATAAAGGTTTCAAAGGTATCGTTTTAAATCAGGCATTGTAAACTTTGCAGGGATGGTGTTAAATTAATTTTCGCTATAAAAGTTCAACCCATTCAAGATAGAATTTTCAAACCAACATTCCCATGGTTCTAACAAATTCCACAATCAAACCTTGAGACAAATCTGTCAAATGGTTCCTGAGTTATGATCGGTCATACAAACAAATATACGGACAAACTAAGATTACTATTCTAAACATTTTAACGATTCAAGATGTAATGTTTTTGTATCTTTTTTATATTTATCGTATTTATGTAAAGAATAACTCTTTTTTACTTAACAAAACTTTTTCTGTTTTTCGCTTTTTTTTTCATTATTGGCAGAGATAACATTATTTTTGTTACAAATGTACAAATAACCATATTTTACCTGCATTGGTTCCAGAGCCCCGGCCATATTCTGAACTCCACCAGGCATTTTTCTGCAATCTGCACAATAGTATAAATTATTTATCTTAATTTCTGCTTGACAAAAAAATTACAAAAATCACATGCAGTACATTAAAATTTCTTGTACTCCAATTCACCAAGCTTTTTGTATTACAAAATTTTATCACAATTTTCAATTTGTTCGGCATTTATTCAAATGGTTCTGAAAAATAATAAGCTTACATATTATCACAAGTTAAAAATAAAAAATAATTTTTTAGAATTTTGATCAAAATAATATTTTAATTAAAATAATGAAAAATAAAAAAATAATTCTGGTTGAAAAATCAAATTGATAATCACATTAGAAGTCAATATAGGGTGCTAGTCTCATTTATTATCAGATTAAGAAATTAAAAAAATTATCTATTATTCTAAAATTGTAAGTAACTTAAATTCACTCCCAAGGGAAAGGAAGGGATACCCTTTATGCTAAAAAAGGAGTTCCATGCCTGGACAAATAAATATATGATATCCTTGATTTCTCGCTGAAAATTGATAAATTTCAACTGCGTTCTTCTAAAAAACGACTTTCTGCGACATAGACAAGGAAGAAGATGGCATGAAATTTCTCTTTTCAATAAAGAAAAAGACGACATTTTCTTCATTGTTACTAAAACAAGGGCACCGTTGTAAATCTGACATGCAACTCTTTAATTAGAGACTCACTTGAAATTAGTTTAAAATTTCCTTTAAAGGAAATCTATAATATATCACAGTTAAAGTTGTAAATTTTAATAAGTGAAAGTAAAATGCAAAATAAAAAGGAATATGAAAAATGAACTAAAATTATGTAAAATGAAACAAGAGAATGAATATTAAATAAATGATTAATTTAATTTAAATATTATAAAACTATAGATTATAAAAATATATTAAATATAGTACAGTATTAAAGATCATGAAAATACAAACTCTGTGAGGAGTAGGGATATCGGTAAAAAAGTGATTTTGATTGCCATGTGAAAAAAACTAGACTCAAAATAATATAAAAACTCTAGACCCCCTCCTTGTCATGTGTAGACAGTAGAACCATAAACTTTCCATATCAGGTTGAGAGAGAAAGAGAAGAGGTTGTAAATTTAAAGAATAAGGATACTTTTTAGAAAATTACCAAAATTCGGCCATCAATCATTATCAAAATCATTTATCATGAAAACAGTTTTTCAAAATATTGAGGATCAAGAGGGGTTTAAAAATTATAGGTGCAGACTCTGAAAAAACCTCTGAAATTAAAAGTTCTAGTCTGGAACGATAAGAAAGTAGCTATCCATAGCTCTGTGTAGCTCTAGTCTGGAACTATAAGAAAGTAGCTATCCATGGCTTCTGTAAACCGTTTCCTGTAAAACTCAGGATTTATAACTGTTGGAGTTTTGGCCGGGCCTCCAAACACTCCGCTGGATTTCACAGATTTCACCAACCTAAAATATAAAAATGCTTAGGGTCAAAATGAATTTAATGATTTGGAGAGATCGCTGAGCTAAATTCATAGAATTATTCGGCCCCAGGTCTGTCCTCAGTAATAATGTAACTTTATACCTTAGAATGGGATATCCAGGGTGGCCAAAACTTTTTTGAACCCATCCGTACAAAAATCCGTACATTTTCAGAAGAAATCCGTACAATCCGTACAATTTTCGAAAAACAATCCGTACAATCCGTACAATTTTTTTTTTAAAAATCCGTACAATCCGTACATTTTTTTAAACCAATCCGTACATTTTTTTAAAGATCCGTACATTTTTTTTTAAAAATCTGTACAATCAGCACAATTTTCGAAAAAATCCCATTTTTGAAAAAAAAACATTAAAATTCAATTTTTCATTCATTGTCTTTTGTGTTCAATTCATGTAAGAGGGTTTAAACTTCTTCAGCAAGAATCAATCTGTAAAAAATTGGCTTCATACATATATACAAACTAAATACTGGGTACATGATACTAGGTGCATGATACTGGATACTGGATACATGATACAGGGTACATGATACAGGATACAGGATACNNNNAGGATACTGGGTACAGGATACTGGGTACAGGATACTGGAACATCTTCTTGAATAAGCAATCAAATAAGTACTTATGGAACATATTCTCAAATAAACACTTCTTGGACATATCTCGAAAATTATGAATGAATTTTGATTGTCAATTGAAACATTAATCAATCTAATATTATTTAAATGCAGAAAATAAGTTAAACTAACTTCATTTTGACGAGAATTTTTTTTTTTTTTTTCATGAAAAATTTGCTGAAATGAGTGAAAATTTAAAAAAACGGTGTATTTTCCAGGATAAAATCCGTACAATCCGTACAATTTGAAAACAAATCCGTACAATCCGTACAATCCGTACAATTTTAGGGTTAAAAAAAAATCAATCCGTACAATCCGTACAATCCGTACATTTTGACCACCCTGGATATCCTAAATCCTGATCGGTTAATTAATTTGGAGATTAATAAAAATAGGAGAACAAGCATTACATCTCTAGATTAAGAAAAAGAGTGGATCAAGCATTAATCCTGATATCTGGAGATTAATAACAATAAGAAAACAAGCATTACTTAATCTCTAGATTAAGAAAGAGTGGATCAAGCATTAATCCTGATATCTGGAGATTAATAACAATAAGAAAACAAGAATTACATCTCGAGATTAAGAAAAAGAGTGGATCAAGCATTAATCCTGATATCTGGAGATTAACAACAATAAGAAAACAAGAATTACATCTCGAGATTAAGAAAAAGAGTGGATCAAGCATTAATCTCGATATTCACCATTCAAAAGTTCCCAGCTCAGATTCGCCACATTATTGGTTTAACAAATGAAAATATTACGATTTACGTTTTTCCTCTGTCTCTTTTTCTTCAAAATTGCACAATTAAAAGTTCAACTGATAACTCTTTTGAAAGTACTTATTGAACAAGTTATTTTTTTTATTTAAAACATCTCTCCCTCAAGAGATTACTTTTTTAGTATATCAAAAATATTTAACTGATTACTTGATTAAATTTTTAAAAAAGATACTTACGTTTCCAGCTTCTTGTCCCAGGTGAAGGTTCGAATATAATCTATAATCCCGACCACTAGTTCTCCAGTTCCACTAAACAATATTCTTAAGGTTAAGCAACTTTTGGCAGGGTTACAATATTGGTGGGTGACTGATCCTTGCTAATTATCCCCAGTACAATAGATACAAATACTTAACTTTTGTCAGAATTCTGAAGGTTAAGAAACTCTATTTAAATTTGAGTATTGGATGGGTGACCGATCCTAGCCAATTGTGTATTAAATATGATTATTTTTCTCTTGTTATGCAACTTACAAATACTTTAACTGCTGTTGATTGCTGAAGGATAAGCATTTTAAAGCAATGCAGTGATTATGTATTAAATATGATAATTTTTCTCTAGTACCACTTAAAAGATACAAAAAGTTAAACACTGTTGTTGATTACTGAAGGTTAAGCAACTTATAGCAAGGTTAAAAGAATGGGTGACCGCTCATTGAGCTTATGTTCTTAATATAATGATCATTCGTAGCATTAATATAATACCATGACTATTGACTAACCTACATATACCAGCTAGAAGACTATAGTCCATCATCTGATGTATTGCTAGGAATGCAGTATCACGTTTTATTGCCTCAACCAGTAAGTTTTTATCACTGTAAATAAATATATTCAATTTTTTAATTATTTTTTTGTCCATTTTAGTTTTCTAAGGGTACTAACCAGGAATTGATATAAAGAGGAGCTTCACATGATCCCCTGACTAGGTTTTCATCAAGCAGAACAGCATCTGTTTTACCCTCAGTAACTGTTAAACGATTCCTAACAGAGCCCTGAAATAAACATCTTCAAGTTCTACCTGGCAATTCTTCCCATCCGTTTTTTGTTGCTGGCCTTTTTTTTTACATTTTAAGTTGCTTCATCTACATTCTACAAGCAATGTTCCGGATCTTATCAAAAATTAACTAATTCGCAGATGATTTTTCAGTTTATTCTTGTATTATGTCGAAATAATTTGTTTTCTTCGGTAGAAGACCTTTTTTAAATTCTAACGATCATAAATATTTTAGGATTGAGAGGGATTCCACACAAAAGGGGATGGAGGAAATGTCCCTCTAATGACCGCCAATGACCACTAATGACCTAAAATGACTTCCAACATGAAAATGTTGTAACTATGGTTTTATTCATATTAAACGAAAGCTAGGAACCCAGGGTATACAGTAGCGGCAACGGATCCACTGTTTGACTTTCTAATGACCTCGAACGACCTCTAATGACCTACAAAATAAAAATGCTTTAATTATAGCTTTATGCATATCAAACGAAAGCTAGAAACCAAGGGAAGTATCAGCAACCAATCCAGTGTTTGACCTTCTAATGACATCTAACGACCTTTAATGACCTCCAAATGAGGAATGTTTTAACTGTGGCTTTATGAATATTAAATGAATGCTAGGAATCTAGGTGATATACCACCAAAGAAAGTAGAAGTCGAGTGTTGTTGTTAAATGAAGAAGGGTCAAGAAAAAATATTAANTGTATATTAGGTTGAAGGACTATTTATTTTGAATTATCTCTAATCTAATTTTAATGTTTCTACTTCTTGCAGATTTTATGTGTTCAACAGCAAGGTTGGGGGTCCCCCCCACTCTCCGGTAGTGAGGGATGTGCTTGGTGGAGGAGGATGTAAAGGCACACCTGTATTCCCTGGGTTCATAGCTTTTGTTTAAGATACATAAAGCCATAGTCAAAAACATTTTCATTTTGGAGGTCAGTTTAGGTCATTAGAGGTCACTAGAGGCCATTAAAGTGTCAAACACTAAATTCGTTACTGTTCCTGTATTCCTTGGGTTTTTGGTTTTCGTTTGATATGCATAAGCCATAGTTGAAACATTTTCTATTTCTTGAGGTCATTAGAGGTCATTTGAGGTCAATTAGAGGTCATTAAAATTCAATTCAATTTAATTTTAGGAAATTCGAACACTAATTAGGCGTGTAGCCAAAAAATTGTAAGATTTGAACCAGATTTGAACCCCCTCATCAAACAGAACATCTCCTCCATCCCGTTTGGGGCCGGCAAGGTCTCTTTAATACAGTGGCATTTATTTTTTTACGAATGATTTTCGATGCTATGAGGGGGAACAAAATTAGACATTATGCGGCAATCCTTTAAAATAAATACAAACATATATAAAAACTTGGGAAAAATGATTTTCAAAAGGGGCGTGGGATTTAAGATAAAATATGTACCCCAGTTTTGATGTCGATTAATGCTTATAAGATAAGATAAGGGAGGATCTGAAGGCCACGCCATCTTGGGAGTGCCCAGACCGCCATCGGTGCTAACTCCCATGAGCTTACAGATCAGCAACTGTAGACTGATGAAATCAATTGTATTACCTTAAGATCGTAGCTTTTATCCACCTCCTTCTTGTAGAAAAGGTTCTCAATGATCAGGAGATCCATCTTCATCCCGGTCCCGGTCACACTCTTGTACCCCACCTTGTAGACTCCGACAATCTTACCCAGTAGGGTCTTAGTTCCAGAATCTAAATAGGAAACCCCAGTAACAAAGTTAATTTTACTTCCAATAGGAGAACCTTGTAGAGGATGAAATCCCCGAAAGAGGACTATGAAATCCACAAATCAGTTGTATCGGATCTTGGAACCGGAGAAGACCTTCAACTTCCTCTCCTTTTATACACTCGTAATTAATATGTATTTATATCTATAAGCAATAAATGTACTTCTCAAACCTCTTATCTGTTTGATTCTTCCCTTTAAAAGCGTTGTCTGATCAAGTATGAATTAGATAGCAATGTTTATAATTTTGAAAACTCATTTTCAATTGGAGAACGACAACGTATTCCGCATTATTAATCAGATTAAGGTTTCAAGAATACCATTCTATTGATTAAAAAAGGGTCATTTGCAATTAAGTTTCCATTCCCTTTTCAAGAACTTGTTGACGTTATAAAGGTATTTTCTCACCTTTGCATTGTTTTATGTATTTGAAGTAATGAGGAGCAAACTCGGTGAATGATTGAAACTCAAATCTTGACATTTGCTTTAAGATAAACCGATCATCTCTGCACAACAAAACAACCAAATCAGATCAGATCAAATCAAATCATACTCTGCAGGGATTTGATCAAATGTGTTGGTATCGCCATCAATTTTTGGATGAACACAAAATTGTCAGATCACGTTTTGATAATCCCAAGACAAGAAAGTGCCACGTGGAAAACAGTCGTGACTTAACACACACATTTTTGGAAAGAACATTTACCATCATTTTAAGATTTCTCAAATTAAATCAAATCAAATCTAGTCAAATCGAGTGAAATCAGGTCAAATCTAGTCAAATCAGATCAAATCAGATCAAATCAGATCAAATCAGATCAGTTTCAGAAAATGAAAATGTACAACTTTGTTTGTTATGTTCCTAGTTTTGAAGAATAACAGTCCAGATTTTCCTCCCATAGCCTCCCATCGTCTACAGGTTGAGAGGGAAGCAAGGAATTCAGCTCCTCGGCCTGGGAATATCTCATTCCTAGAATAATTGGGAATAACAGAAAATCTGCCATCTATATATATATACTCTTCTTGTCTGTTTGGGTGTCTATTTGTTTGTGTCCGATAATCGTCAAAACGGCTGAACCGTTCGGGCCCAAATTTGTTTGTGAAATCTCACATGTTCTCAGGGAAGGGTATTGCATGGTTAGTATTAAACCCTGGAAGCCTAGTTCCATATACTGCTAAACCAATAAAAATACAAACCAATACTATTATTTGTGAATGATAATTTATTTTTGGTTTATCTAAAAGGGAAGCGTGGGATTTAAAAGTTAAAAATAGTTTCTGACCTCTAGCTCATAAACATTACTGAAATCTAGCTCATAAATATTATTGAAACAGTAGATTACAGTACAGTAATGTACAGTATAGTAAAAAAGTAAAGCATAGTACAGTGCAATATAGTCCGATACAGTACTATGCAGTATAGTCTGGGTAAAGTACAGTACAGTTTCGTGCACTACAGTACAGGACAATGAAGTAAAGTTTTTTACAGTACAGTCCAACAAGTACAGTACAGTGCACTAATGTACAGTAAATCCCAGCATATCACAGTATTGAAATAAATGCAGTGCAATACACTTCTGTACTTAACAGTGAAGCAAAGTAAAGTACTTCTTACTGTACATTTTCCAGCACTTCTTATTGCACACTTTACGGTTTAATGCAGTACAGTACAGTACTGTACTGTACTGTACTGTACTGTACTGTACTGTACTGTACAGTTATATACCTGAGAAGATGAAATTCCTTTGTAAAGTAGCTACAGCTGTAGAATTGAGCAGTATCACTGCTGAACTGAAGTTCAAGATGCTGATTACTCTCATTCTCATCTAACAAAAATATTCATCAATGATCTTAAAATATTAATTATGTTTCTCGATAATGGATTGCTCAATGCTCAATGATTAATTTCCACTTCTTTTATAATAGTTTTATCTCTTAATAATTTTTCCTCTCCTTTTTTCAATTCTGAATTTACTTGCTTTCTTCTTTCCAATTCCCTGTCGTGACTCGAGACTTGATATATCAATCGTTTCATGTTTATTTAACAAGGAAAGCGTGCTAAAATGAACTAAAGGGAAAATTTTGCTAAAGGGACTGTAAGAATAATTTTAAGAGACCCTCCATGCAAAGATGATGCCCGATTTATAGCAGTATTCGTAAAAGCTTTGTCTGATCAAGTTTGAATTAGATATCCATGTTTTTGTTCCTTTATAAACCGATAATTTTCATTTGCGGTTTTTCTACATATGTGACTTGCACGTTTCTTGCTTATAAGAAGCAATGGAGAAATTCACAGAAATAAACACTTTTCGAGTCAGGAAAACGACACGGTATCTTGATAAAGGTTTCATGGGTACTACCGTTGTAAATCGGGCATTGTCATCTTTGCAATGTATGGTCGCCTTACGCTTACAGTCCCATTGAGCTCAATGTAAATAATTCTGACTTGTGATTGGTAAGGTTGAATATCTCCAAATCTCTCATTGGCTGCTAGCAGGATCCAATGAGAGACTTGTTAGAGAAAAGGTTAACGTTTAACAAACTCCATGGGGGAACAGAAAACAAACTTGTTTAGTCTGATAAATCGAACCTGCTAGAAAATGTTGATATGCATCTGTGTTGAGAAGATAATAGATAATGGAAGAAGGTTCCGTCTCCGCCACCAGGATGGGAGAAGGTGGGTCTAAATGGGACCCGGAGAGGGTTATGATGAGATGGTGACCTGGAGGAAACGGACTAGTGATCAGATCTTCCTTCTCATGCGGCATTATTGTTGAAATAAACTTCTTCACAGTATCATTATCCTTAATTTTAAAATTCAGTGATGGTGATGGACCAAACCTCTGTAGAGTAAAAAAGTAGATGTTATTTCCACATTTATTGAATATATTTGGGTCTGGGTTGACCCTCGTCAGTTCTAACGATATAATAACCAAACCATGAAAATCGATAAAAAAAAAAAAAAAAAATTTTGTTCAAAATCACAAGAAAATAAACAAACAAAAAAGATGATTCAACATAAAAATTTATTAATCCATAATATTGATAGAGTCGAAAGTTACCCCCAGGATTATGACCTAAAGGCTGCGATTAAATTTTTTTTCTTGATTTTGCGAAGATCTGAGTAACACAACCAAATTCAAGCCAAGCTATTATTGTCGAAAAATATATTTCAAGAAATTATATTTTACCGTTTTCTTGATTTTGCGAAGATCTGAGTAACACAACCAAATTCAAGCCATGCTATTATTATCGAAAAATATATTTCAAGAAATTATATTTTACCGTTTTCTTGATTTGCTGTGGGTCGGAAGATTCTACAGAAGCCGGAAGACTACTCGCATTCTTTTTTCTAACAAATATTAATAGTCAACATTTACAGGGAATAAGATTTATAATTTTTATATTCCTTTCACCAGTGCTAACTGCCTCCAATCCGGATACGTTGGATCTGCAGCATTTTGGCTTAACCGAATCCGCGAAAAAATGCGGATTCACGAATCTTGATCCAAGGAGCAAAAAATTGACAATAACGGCTAAAAAAAATTTCTCTCTTGACACAAATTTTAGCAAAAAAAAATAACATTTTTGAAAAGTTTTCAATTGTATAAAAATCTGAAAATTTAGAATAAATATTTAGGACTTGGATCAAAATGAAATGGATGCTAAGCACTCCATTCGACACAAATATTAAATTCATGGATACAGGAAGTCTAATTTATTGAGCTACAGCTACTACAGTTTTCTCGCAACCCCCGATCCGATCAAAATACTATTTTATGCTATTCAATAGTTCTACGCTCAGTTCTAACTTATCTTATTCTTAGCCAAGACGATTTTACAAAAATAAGAATAAAAGATTAAAAAGAGAAAAAGGTATAATCAAACATAAAGTAAGCCAAATCGGCGCGAATAAAAAAAGATGCTTAAAAATGCCCATTTTTGGTAAAACCTATACATTTTTCACAACCCATTTATAAGGCATATTTTATTTTTTATACATTACAAATAAATATATCATTTTTATCTCTAAAAGTTGTTAGTTCATCGTCGAAAAATGCTAACAATCAACCACAAGTTTATGTTAAATATAATATAAACAATTAATTGTTAAACCTTAGGTCTAACTAAATGATACATGGTGGGGGTTGAAAAGTGTTTATTGGTTAAAACTTGTTACGGAATATATAGGAGCGTTTTTACTTTCTGTGGGGGGATTTAGGGAGCTTCTCAACTGCTGGAATTGATGAGTCTTCAGAACACGGAGCAGTCTGGAGCAGAACTGTAGAATGCTGCTTCTGTAGGGAACTGCTTTAAGCTGTAGGTGTAGATGAACCTTTAGAGCTGTCTGGAGCAGAACTGTAGAATGCTGCTTCTGTAGGGAACTGCTTTAAGCTGTAGGTGTAGATGAACCTTTAGAGCTGTCTGGAGCAGAACCGTAGAAGGCTGCTTCTGTAGGGAACTGCTTTAAGCTGTAGGTGTAGATGAACTTTCTGGTCCAGGACTTGGTCCGAAAATGATAATTCTATTCTGATTTTAGAATATCTATAAAATCCCCTTTTGATGGTACAGAGTTGGTTTAGAACTCCGGAGCTGCTGGAAGATTAGCTACAACTGATAATATCATCTTTCCAAGATTTCAACGTTAGGTTTAAGGCGTAACCTTAACCTTGAGTCTATACTTAAAAATACACAGTGCTCACAGGATGTTCACAAAAAATACAAACATATAAATACATTTTAACTATTCATAAAAGCACAAATATCAATTCTTAAAGAATCTGTTACATTCGTTTGTGAATTTTACAAAATAGGAGTTTTAGTTTATGTAAACACCCAGCCGAGTTCCCATATACAGAAATAATTGATTCCAACCATGATCTGACATTCTTTGTTAAAAATATGCACTTTGAACTCCGTTACAAAATATATAACTTTTCTGTTCCTTTTCCTTTTATTTCTAATTTTTATATTTTTTAAGATTTGGGGGGAAATATTCCCACAACCTCTATTTTTGGAGGTTTTCAAATATTTTCTCTTTAAACACTTAATTTTGAATGTTTTTTTTATTTTTCATAAATAAATGATTGCTTACTACTTACGGATTTTAATTCAAATCTTCATCTTGTTTGAGACAAAACATGTTTTTTAACAAATAATTTAATTAATAACTATGTGAAATGTGATTATCATGCTGCTTAAATAAATGACGACTAACCTCGGTGCTGAGCCATTAAGGCTCAACAATCGTTTGTTCCACTGCTGCTGAGCCATTATCACATCACGGGTTAATATCTCCAAAATCTGAATATTTCAATGATTAAACCGATTGAGTTAAATAGGTGACTAAGCATCTTAACTATTTGATCCATCATCGAGCACATTGATGTACCTTGAGCAAAACTCTTGATCCGGCCCCGAACATATTAATAATCCCTAGATCCGTCCCCGAGGATATTGTTCTACCTGATTGACCCAGAGCATGATAATTCTTATATCCGTTCCATAGCATATTCATGTTTACATATTGATCCGTTGATCCGTCCCTAAGCATATTAATGTGCCTCCAGCATGTTAATCCCTAGATCAGCCCCTAAGCAGTGAGCATATTCATGTACCTGGAGCATATCAATCCCTTGATCCGTCCCTGAGCAGTGATCAAATTCATGTACCTGGACCATATCAATCCTTTGATTCGTCCCTGAGCAGTAAACATATTCATGTACCTGGAGCATATCAATCCTTTGATCCGTCCCTGAGCAGTGAGCATATTCATGTACCTGGAGCATATCAATCCTTTGATCCGTCCCTGAGCAGTGAGCATATTTAAGTACCTGTACCATATCAATCCCTTGATTCGTCCCTGAGCAGTAAGCATATTCATGTACCTGGAGCAAATCAATCCTTTGATCCGTCCCTGAGCAGTGAGCATATTTATGTACCTGGAGCATATCAATCCTTTGATCCGTCCCTGAGCAGTGAGCATATTTATGTACCTGGAGCATATCCATCCCTTGATTCGTCCCTGAGCAGTAAGCATATTCATGTACCTGGAGCATATCAATCCCTTGATCCGTCCCTGAGCAGTGAGCATATTTATGTACCTGGAGCATATCAATTCCTTGATCCGTCCCTGAGCATATCTGCTCTTCTAGTTTTTCCACCCTGGCCCTGTACTCCTTAAAGTCGTCCTCCTGCTGGCCCAACAGCCTTTTTATATCAGCATTCTCACCCTGCAATAGATTATATTTGCATTTTGATCTTACAGGTATCTTACAGTGGCATTTCTTTCAAGAATTTTCAAATATCTTGCTTTCATATTCAATTTTATTTAAGAATTAAATCTGGTAAATAAAATAAAGTAAAAAAATTAATGTAGATAAAAGTGCATTCGGGTCCTCACTGTTTTACTTCATACATGGTTACCCCCAAACTTTTGAGACGTCTGTACGGAATTTTTACTTTCTGTTTCCTTATTTTACCCTCGGGATCCCCCTGGGTTCCCATAAAAAAAATCAGGCCTTTCGGTCCAGCCGTTTTTCTTCAAATTTTTATTTATCGCCAAAACAAAAATAATTCCTACAAATGTAGATTCAAAAATTAGGGTCATTACAATTTCACTTTTGTAATTCTTAATGACCATTTAGAACACTACACCCCATCCCTTTTCATACTAGTTGTCAAAGAAGAACTTACAGGGTGTCCCAAAAAAGAGGAATTCCCAAACTTCAAACTTGAGTAAAATTTACTACAATCAGAAATATTCAGAAGATATCAAAAATGTCCCAATTCGTCAACATGTGTCCAATATTGAGGAACACCCTGTACTTGAAATACAAAAAAAATTGATAAATTAAGTTTCGACCTTGATCTCATGAAGTGTTTCAAGTACATCACTGTATATACTGCTCCCATGCTTCTTTAGTACTTTCATTTTCTCCAGCATTTCGGTCTGTTGAAGAACTTTAATATCCGGCAGTTCTGGAGTTGTACAGGGTGGAACTAGTTTCAGCATCTTAACAATATGGTTTTTATTTATACACCCTGTAGCAGAATTTTAATCAGTTCTGGGGGGGGGGGGAGAAAATAAATTTACCGGAAGTTTAGAGTACTTGAATGTGGTGACAGCGTCCATTTTACCGAAGCAGGTTAAATGCTCCTGGTGCAGAGAATGGCTACATTTAGCATCAGGTCTAAAAAAAACTAAATTCAGTGGTGAGAAGTTAGCAAATATTTTGGAATACCAATTTTCTTTTCATGTAAGCTGGTTCTCTTAATATCTAGGTATCCTACCTGTCTGACCCCACCTTGTCAGCTAGTTCTCATAATATCTAGATTTCCTACCTGTCTGACCCCACCTTGTCAGCTGGTTCTCATAATATCTAGATTTCCTACCTGTCTGACCCCACCTTGTCAGCTGGTTCTCTTAATATCTAGATTTCCTACCTGTCTGACCCCTCCTTGTCAGCTGGTTCTCATAATATCTAGATTTCCTACCTATCTGACCCCACCTTGTCAGCTGGTTCTCATAATATCTAGATTTCCTACCTGTCTGACACCTCCTTGTCAGCTTGTTCTCATAATATCTAGATTTTCTACCTGTCTGACCCCCTTCTTGTCAGCTAGTTCTCATAATATCTAGATTTCCTACCTGTATGACCCCCTCCTTGTCAGCTGGTTCTCTTAATATCTAGATTTCCTACCTGTCTGACCCCCTCCTTGTCAGCTGGTTCTCGTGGAATATGATGTGCAGGAACATGGCGAAGGAGAGAGACCAGGTGTCCACTGTGACAGGAACTATGGGTGTGATGAGCTCACACTCCGTGCAGTACTTCCACATCATCAGCTTGTCTACCTCTTCTCCCATTATGGGAGCCTCCAGCTCCTAGATAGAAGACAGCAGATGTAAAAATCCGCCATTATGTTTTGATGAGAATCCGAAAATTATTAGATTAGAAGGAAATTCTCCTTGTCCCCCCCTCTATTCCGGCTTCTTGCAAAACAAATCAACAGAATTTGACGTTTTTTTGTCAAAATTAAATCTTCCATTTAAAACAAAATAAAAAATATGTTATCGAAAATAATAGTGGATTAAGGTTAAAGAGTTTAAGAAAATCAAAATACATTAAAGGAAGTGACCGCCAATGTATGGTAGTTAAACTGAGAATGTAGTATTGAGGAGACATTTTTAGGAATCATTTGAGATCTTTGAGACGTTTTTATTTGTTCAGCAAGAGCGCAATTTCAGTCTTTAAAATCCCCATAGATTATTGATTTTTTAAAGGATGATTTTGAGAATCAGTTTTTAAAAAGTTATTCAACAACAACGACAACGAAATTCTACAGTTAACTAATTAGTTGTTCAGGAACAGGTTGCGAAAGTCAAATTAACTATTTTCATCGAAAATAACTAATCTTATTCAGTTATTGGTTTCTGTAATGTCTCATTGTTCACAAACATTATCTGTATATTTCCTGGAATTTTTATTGAAATGACAAGATATAAAGAATTTGAAGAAATCTGGGAACAATTGTAACGAATAAAAAATTCAATATGATGATGAAAAAGAAATATTTGATTCATGAGACGCCGGGAACAACGGACCCGCCATGTTTGAAACCCAGAGAGGGTTAAAATTGATCAAGGGGTTGGAAAGACCAGACATGGAAGAATACATCCACCATCTGAGGCGCAGAGATCCCGGTGTGGCGTTACTTCTGGATAAACGTTAAATAATGGTAGTATATTCTACGCAGCAAATTTTCCGCGGCATCCCCGCATATTTTTGCAGTGTTCCATCTATACTCTTTTCATATTAAATTACTCAGTATCGTGTGTTATTTCTAACGTAAATATAGTATGTGTAAAATCATGGCATTATTCAATTCAGTTAAGGTTATTTACTTTATTAAGCTTCAAAACATCATTAAAAAGTTTTATATGTCTCAAATGAATCCCAAAATATTTCTCCATAATACTACATTCTCAGAATTTAACCACCGTACATTGCCGGTCACTCCCTTTAACTGAGCTGAGAATTTTTGTGTCGGATACTTATAATCCCAGTTTCTTGATCTCGATATCTACAGTCGACATTTTTCAATTTAACACTAATTCTCCTTTCTTTTTTTGTGGTGGGGATATCCGCAATTTCTCTGTTCTCTTATTGGTTGAGCGCAAAAATTCCTGGCCTCCGATTGAACATTAACGGGATATCTGATTGAAACTAAAATGGAATATCGAAAAAAAAAATAATCTCTAGCAAGCATTGATCTCGACATTCACAATGCGTGAGTTCTCTGTTTGTTTGATTCTAGAGTATAGTTGGCATAATTGTACAGTGTACTGCACCTGCATGTGTACAGAAATAGAACCACCGCCATGGCAGAATCTACGCGTATGGGTCAGTATCGGTGTATTACACTACAGAAAAAAAAACTTATAAATGATTAACATAAATAATTTATAACTACTAAAAAATAAAAATCTCCTTATTTTTTTAATAAATTTTTTTGAGATTGAGATTTTATTTCTTTATGATAAACCGATTGAAGAAGTTTTTTTCACCTGTTTATTAGGACAATGGTAGTCCTTATTGAAACAGAACAGTTCTAGAAATCCACCAAGAGAAATATCATAGTTCCCGTACATTCCCATATCCACTACCCAGGGAACAACACAGAAATTAGGATACACATGACATGATTTACCTAAATAGAACATGTCGGATTATACACGTTATAAGAATGATTTAACATGAAGGATGATAAACGTGACCAGAACACATGAAGGATGAGACACATGATAAGACTTAACTAAACTAAATAAAACATGGCGGATATTAAATAAAAAATGGCAGATGATACACGTGACAAGATTTAACAAAATAAAACATGGCGGATGATAAACGTGACAAGATATAACAAAATAAAAGATGGCGGATGATACGCGTGACAAGATTTAACAAAATAAAAGATGGCGGATGATGATACACGTGACAAGATATAACAAAATAAAGGATGGCGGATGATACACGTGACAAGGTTTAACAAAATAAAGGTGGCGGATGATACACGTGGCAAGATTTAACAAAATAAAAGATGGCGGATGATACACATGACAAGATTTAACAAAATAAAAGATGGCGGATGATACACATGACAAGATTTAACAAAATAAAAGATGGCGGATGATACACGTGGCAAGATTTAATGAAATAAAAAATGATGGATGATAAACAAATGAAGCGTGACAGGGTTTAACGAAATTTTAATTTGCGAACCAACCCATGATTTAATTTTATTGGTTCAGTTGGATAATAATTATAAAACTAACTTGAAAAGCTAGAGAAAAGAACAGGAAGGTTTTCACAGTGATCATCTGGTAGTTGAATAGCCCGCTTAGCCCGGACTGGAGTAGGAGCAGTCTTCTGGATGGTTCCTGTTCTCCAACCCGCGGCTCGGAACAGAGCTACAGAGTTCTGGACTCCGGGTGTATCCGCGGACTGGTTCAGCTTCTCTTGTATGAACCCTTTACACCAGGGATGAATCTCCATTGTTTTCTCAAGGTCTGAACAAAAAAACTCCAATAAACTCTTTTAAGGTTAAAATAGATTTGCTTAATTTAATTTTTACTTTTGTTTTTTATATTTTTGATCGTTTGATAATATACTTAAAGAGACTTAAAACATAATTTTGAGTGACCAATTCCATTTAAAGAGATTCAGAACCTGAAATAACAAGGATGTCTTATTCATCCTTGATCAGACAAAGGTTGAAAGGTTGAAAGGTGACCGATGTGAATCCTCTCTATTTGTGAAGCTAACATGAAATTACGTCGACAATTCCTTTAAGATAGGAAAGGTGAAAAAAAACCTTTATCTGAAGTCTTGAAGACACTTTCCTCGTCCTCCATTTCTTCAAGAACATCCATTCCCTCCAAAACCTCCGGGACCATCCCCTCCAGGCTCCTGGTCTCCACCTTGATGAAGGGGGAGATGGATATAGCGAACTTATCCTCCTCCTCCTCAACCTTCTCCTTGATCTTGCTGCTAATCCAACCATACTCGTTCAGGATAAAACTTCTCTCATACTTCCAGTTGTACTTCAACAGCAGCAGTCGCTTCAGGATTGCCTGAACACACGGAATCTAAACCTCTGATATAGCCAGAACAATACTATTCTCCTCTTGGAGTTTATTAACTATATATATTGGGAATACGGTTCAAATCTGATAAATACCTTGAGTTTGATTAAAGTTGATCTATTCTTCCCCTGGAGAATAATAATTCAGGTGAATAAAGTTCAAATCTAATAAATACCTTGAGTTTAACTTAAGTTGATCTATTCTTCCCATGGAGAATAATAATTCAGGTGAATAAAGTTCAAATATAATAAATACCTTGAGCCCCTAGAGTATAATAGTTTATAGGAATAAAGTTCAAATGAAGTAAATACCTTGATTTTTAATAGAATTAATCTATTCTCCCCTAGAGAATAATAGTTCAGGGGAATAAAGTTCAAATATAATAAATACCTTGAGTTTGACTACAGTTGATCTAGTCTTCCCATGGAGCTTAATAATAATTCAGAGGAATATAGTTCAAATGGTACCAGTACAAACGTCGGACGCACAAACGTCGGACGCCACAAACGTCGGACAGTACAAACGTCGGACGCACAAACGTCAGACCAGTACAAACGNTTTTTTGATCGCTCAAAAACTTATAATTCCAGATGAGCGCATATGAAAAATTGGCTTTAAAAATGGCAGGCTGGTCATTCTGCGGATAAAATATCAAGAAAAGGTGGGATATTTTCACACAGTCTGACGTTTGTACTGGTCCGATGTTTGTACTGGTCCGACGTTTGTACTGGTCCGACATTTGTACTGTCCGACGTTTGTAAGTCTTATGTTTGTACCGTCCGACGTTTGTGGGTCCGACGTCTGTACTGGTACCGTTCAAATATAATAAAAACCTTGAGTTTGACTAAAGTTGATCTATTCTTCCCATGGAGAATAATAATTCAGGTGAATAAAGTTCAAATCTAATAAATACCTTGAGTTTAACTTAAGTTGATCTATTCTTCCCATGGAGAATAATAATTCAGGTGAATAAAGTTCAAATCTAATAAATACCTTGAGTTTAACTTAAGTTGATCTATTCTTCCCATGGAGAATAATAATTCAGGGGAATATAGTTCAAATATAATAAATACCTTGAGTTTGACTTAAGTTGATCTATTCTTCCCATGGAGAATAATAATTCAGGGAAATATAGTTCAAATATAATAAAAACCTTGAGATTGATTTCAGTTGATCTATTCTTCCCATGGAGTATAATAATTCAGGGGAATAAAGTTCAAATATAGTAAATACCGTGAGTTTGACTAAAGTTGATCTGTTCATCCGATAGAGCATAATAATTCAGGGGAATCTTTATCTTTATTTATTCAAATATAGAAAATGCATTGAGTTTGACTAAAGTTGATCTATTCTTTCCATGGAGAATAATAATTCAGGGGAATAAAGTTCAAATATAGAAAATGCCTTGAGTTTAACTAGAGTTCTTCAATTTTCCCTATAGTATAATAATTCAGGGGAATAAAGTTCAAATATGGAAAATACCTTGAGTTTGACTAAAATTGACCGATTTTCCCCCTGGAGTATAATAATTCAGGGGAATAAAGTTCAAATATGTAAAATACCTTGAGTTTGACTAAAATTGACCGATTTTCCCCCTGGAGTATAATAATTCAGGGGAATAAAGTTCAAATATGGAAAATACCTTGAGTTTGACTAAAATTGACCGATTTTCCCCCTGGAGTATAATAGTTCCGCCTAGTTCAGGGGAACAACCATCAAATACAAGTAAGCTTCGCCTTAATAATAAACATTTTTATATTGTTTATGTTTATTTATTAATTAATTAATTAATTAATTAAAGGGAACCGCTGGGGGTATTCTGTCCCCCAGTCGACCTCACCAGTACAGTACCCCGCGATACGCATTTCAAACACGCCTAGGGTTGACTGACAGTCCCCCCAGGTTTTAGTGATAACAATTATTATTAAGGTCAGTCCACCTTATAATTTAGAGAAAAAGTTTGGATTTAAAACATATTATTTGAAATGTTAGGAATCATATTGAAACTAAGACCACCTTCAACAAATGGAACCCTGGAAGAAACACAATTTTAACCATATTTATCAAACATCATACATAGACAATAAACATATACCGTCATTGTCGTGTATATCAATACAATGAAGCGGACTTTCTATTTCAATTTATATTTATATCAAACTTTTAAACAACATGGGTATTCGATACACACGCATAAACATGGAAACAAAGAAAAGCTGTAAAAGAAAAGATTATTTTAATGTTTACTTGTAAACTTGTAATTGGAAGAAGGCTTGTTAGAAATCAAAGCCCATAAACAGAAAAGTCGTCTTCATTGATATAATTGCATATTGCAGTATGATTGAAAAATCAAAGGAAGTTGCGGGAGAAAAATGTCTCTACATGTAATTAAATATTAATCTATGTACCTTTCTTGTTCCTCTGGCGGATTTTCTACGTAGAATGATTGGCAGGTTCCCATGACCGGTGCGGTCATCATAGAGTCAATAGAAGTGATAATCTTCCCGCCGGTCAAACGTTCTAGTCTCTCAAGTACCCTGCATCATCATCAAATCTATTTAGTCTGCTCAGAAAATGGTTCAGTTATTTAACAATGATTGCCTTTCTGCACTGAAAAGGAAAAGAAAGAGTGTAACAAATGTTTACCTGAATTTAACATTAAGAGCTAAACTGACCCCTTCTCTGAGAAAAATATCCTGAGCCAGCCTTGAGGCTGTTTTTTCCACGAGGACTATATTGGGTTTGGACTGGAGGAGCTTCATGGTCATGTTCTTTATATACTCTTCCTCCTGAATATAAACTCAGATATTTAAACAGAAATAAGAGGATCAAATCAAATCAAACCATAATACTGACAGACAAGACTGGCAAGGTGGACAAGGCTGGCAAGGTGGACAAGACGAGCAAGACTCGCAAGACGAGCAAGACGCACAAGACTCGCAAGACGAATTAACAGGAAAGACAGAAAAGACCGATAAAACAGGCAATTGTGAGAGGCCCTTTACTTAAGTTTTCCTTTGGCTACAAATCCGAAAACAGAAAGTTTGTCATTTTGATGAATTGATTGATTGATTGGTTATGTACCTGAAGTGTTAGTGTATCTAAGGCCATCATCCTGTTCTCATCTCTCTGATACACAATACTATTGGCCACCAGAGCAATCCTTGAAAAAATAGAGCATTTTGTATTAGTAACTTTGAAACAACCTCTGACCAAAAAAGTATTAAGATGAACAAACTAAGAAAGAGAATGCCTATTGCCTATCCATGATTTAAAAATCTAAACCAAATCTCTAATTAAAAAACATATATTTAAGACAAACAAAGATGTGATTTATGTACAGCAAAAAAAACCGTCTTCTGATTTTTCTAGCTTAAACTGTTGTACATTGTATAACCTTTACAATTATCAGGAAATAAATCCTAAAAAATACCTTGGTTTATCCAACTGAGTAGCCATTTTTCGATGGGTTAGTTTTAAACTACAAACTTCCCCTGGAATCAGTCTACTGTGCTTCCTGTTTCCTCCTGCTACACACTTGACCTGAATAATATGTAATTTGGGAAAATTGGGAATCAGTCTACTGTTTTTGCTGTTATCTCCTCCTATACATTTGACCTGAACAGTATAGTATTTAGGAATCTGTCTACTATGTTACACATTTGACCTGAACAGTATTATAATTGGAAATCAATCTGCTATGTTTCCTGTTTCCTCCTGCTACACATTTGACCTGAACAGTATTATAATTAGGAATCTGTCTACAATGTTTCCTTTTTCCTCCTGCTACACACATGACCTGAACAGTATTATAATTGGGAATCTGTCTACAATGTTTCCTTTTTCCTCCTGCTACACACATGACCTGAACAGTATTATAATTGGGAATAATCTAATGTGGTTTCAGTTTCCTCCTGCAACACATTTGACATGAACAGTATTATAATTGGGAGTCAGTCTACTGTAGTTCCTGTTTCTCTTGCTATACACTTGACCTGAACAGTATATAATTGGGAATCAGTCTACTGCAGTTCTTGTTTCTCTTGCTACACACTTGACCTGAACAGTTTTGTAATTGGGAATCAGTCTACTGTGGTTCCTGTTTCCTCCTTCTACACACTTGACCTGAACAGCATTGTAATTGGGAATCAGTTAACTTTGTTTCCTGTTTCTCTTGCTACACACTTGACCTAAACAGTATTATACTTGGGAATCAGTCTACTATGTTTCCTGTTTCCTCCTGCTACACATTTGACCTGAACAGTATTATACTTGGGAATCAGTCTACTATGTTTCCTGTTTCCTCCTGCTACACATGTGACCTGAACAGTATTGTAATTGGGAATCAGTCTACTGTGGTTCCAGTTTCCTCCTGCTACACATTTGACCTGAACAGTATAATAATTGGGAATCAGTCTACTGTGGTTCCTGTTTCCTCCTGCTACACATTTGAACTGAACAGTATAATAATTGGGAATCAGTCTACTATGTTTCCAGTTTCCTATTGCTACTCACTTGACCTAAACCGTATCATGATTGGAAAACAGTCTTTACATTAATACTTAAAGTTTAAGTAACATTCATCAGCTAAAATTACTAAACAAAACTGGACTCGAACAACCTTAAATCCTAGTACCTTAACATAGCATCTAATATCCATATCATCAGAATTCTTTCTCAGATCTGGAGTAACTGTTCTTATTGTCTCATCTATATCAAAATATTCATAATTTTTACCGTAATGGTGAATAAATGAACGAAAGAATATGAATAAATGAATAAATGAATAAATGAATAAATGAATAAATGAATAAATGAATGAATAAATGAATGAATGAATAAATGAATAAATGAATAAATGAATAAATGAATAAATGAATAAATGAATAAATGAATAAATGAATAAATGAATAAATGAATAAATGAATAACCGAATAAATGAATAAATAAATAAATGAATGAATGAATAAATGAATAAATGAATAAATGAATAAATGAATAAATGAATAAACGAATAAATGAATACATGAATAAATGAATAAATGAATAAACGAATGAATGAATACATGAATAAATGAATAAATGAATAAATGAATAAATGAATAAATGAATAAATGAATGAATAAATAAATAAATGAATGAATGTTCCTGCTAGATCTTGAAGGATGGATCTCCAGGCTGGAGTAAGATTGTATCCGGCAGATACACGGTCCAGGTAAACCTCTTCATGCTCCCTACAACAATATATCTGCAGGTACAGTTGCTAGAAAAATTATAAATAGAAAAAAGGTACCAGCTACAACTAAAAACAGGAGTTATCTCAAGATTCCTGTATTTCCAATAATAAGGGAAGAATTAGTTTTTTAAATATTAGATGAAGTGTATCTGTATCTATATTTTCTAAACTAACCTAAGGTATCTTGAATTTAGATCAAGTGTATCTTTATCTTTATCTAAATTCTAAACGAAATCATCTTGTATCTAGATCAAGTGTATCTTTATCTATTCTTTACTAACCTGTATCTTGTATCTAGATCAAGTATATCTGTATCTATTACATACTAACCTGTATCTTATATCTAGATCAAGTGTATCTGTATCTATTCTTCACTAACCTGAATCTTGTATCTAGATCAAGTATATCTGTATCTATTCTTAACTAACCTGTATCTTGTATCTAGATCAAGTTTATCTGTATCTATTCTTTCCTAACCTGTATCTTGTATCTAGATCAAGTGTAAATGTATCTATTCTTAACTAACTTGTATCTTGTATCTAGATCAAGTATATCTGTATCTATTCTTTACTAATCTGTATCATGTAACTAGATCAAGTGTATCTGTATCTATATTCTAAACTAACCTGTATCTTGTATATAGATCAAATGTATCTGTATCTATATTCTAAACTAACCTGTATCTTGTATCTAGATCAAGTGTATCTGTATCTAGAGTTCCGTGTTCTGCAAAGTTCTCTCTGAGGTTACAAATATCAACCTAAATGAATTGAGTTTTATCCACAAAATTAAATTTTCTAATTCCCATATTTTTGCAACCTGATAGTTAAACCTTTGATATTAGATCGTACCGAATTCATAACTTGAAATATCTAAGGTGTACGACATTGTGTTGCAAAGATATAGTGCTTAGAAAATCAGAGTTTGTGTGCATACAAAATGTCCAAATCATATAAGACGAAGGCTGCAAATATTGCATATATATTGACATAAACATATAAACAATTTACATAGATAATAATATCTGCTCAGAACCCTGAAGTGAATTCAGAATAAGGGACATATTATCTAATGCTCCTCCCTCCCCCCTTCCCCCCCCCACAGTGTAAAATATTGCAAATATATTACCTAGCAAACATACTAACAAACAAGCAATCAACAACCATGCCATAAAGAAGATGAAAAAAGGATACCTGTAATCCCTGGTTTGGTTTAAAATCCTTCAATGAATGATTTCCGCCGCTTCGATGTCGATTCTCCATCTAAAATATAAAATACAATCGTCAAAACTTTAAAGATATCGATCTTATTCCGACCCTAGATCAAGCATTGATCCTCAAATTTTAAAGTGCCTGCACAGAATATCGAGATCAACCGTTATAGATTAACGATACTCCACACAAAAATTCCGATCTCAGCCGATTTAAAATCGGGTTTAAAACTGAGCGTTGGACACAACACTAAATTTTGAAACCTCAGGTTTTAGATCTACCTTACTCTGTGAGCTCGAGTTGGAGGTTCTTTTCTCAATCTGGAAAGGAGAAGCCACCACCTCCCTGGAATCCAACACCAGCTATTTAACAACATAAGTAAAAACAAAATGGCCGTCGTTACCAACTGAATATGTTCCCACGTGGTACAACCATAGACTCAAATGACGTCAACAAAAACTGGTTTTGATTCAGCATGAATATTAATTTTGAGAATACATTTTGTATGTTGACTGTAAAAGGTCGCCTCCCCCCAATGTAAAATGGCGACAAAAGCCTGCTAAGTAAAGTCCTATTGAATCCCTAAAGCTTTAAGATTCTTTGTTGTTTTTGATTTGATGGTAGATTTTTGGTTTCTTGATTTAGTTTTGCTTCTCTTATTGTTTTAAGTTAGCTTGTGATTGAATAAAATAAAGTTTATTTTGCTTTATATGTAACTAAATAGTTTCTTTGATTCTCTGATTAGTTAATTCATTTTTGGTGTATTTGATAAATTTATTTTTTGATAATTTGATTAGTTGATTTAAAGTTTGTAAATAGTGTTTCCCTTAGCCAGAGTGGTTCCTCCATATCCTGTTCCGGAGTCTCGGAATCTGGAGTGTCTCCAGGTATAACCGTCCTAGAATAAACAGGTATCTCCGGGTATATCCGTCCTAGTATAAACATGTATCTCCGGGTATAACCGTCCTAGAATAAACATGTATCTCCGGGTATACCCGTCCTAGTATAAACATGTATCTCCGGGTATAACCGTTCTAGAATAAACATGTATATCCGGGTATAACCGTCCTAGAATAAACATGTCTTTCCGTGAATAACCGTCCTAGTATAAACATGTATCTCCGGGTATAACCGTCCTAGAAACATAACATACATCTATGGTTAAAACTGTCCAAGAAAAGAATTTTTAAACATGTATTTCCGTGAAAACCGTCCGTAAGTTAACTTTTGATGCTCTGGGGGGAAACTTTAACCGAAATTCATTTAATTTCCAAAAATAAATCAAGAAAATCTCAATCTCAATAATCTCGATAGACATTTAACAAGGGGTTTGCGCGGTGATTTCAAATAATGTAAATATGAGGCAGATTTAAGAGGAATGTATAGTTAAAAAAATTAGTTTAGAATATGCAAAAGAGAATCGAATATTTTTCGAACATTTTCGACGTAAGCCTATACCCCCTTTCATATTTCGCGAATACTCTCGTTATGGAGGAATGGGGCACAAACACAAATGTCAAAAAAAAATCAAGGAAGCAAAAACTTATTTAACGAATACATATATTTTCTCTACCTGTCACACGGCTGATATAGTTCAGTACCATCCACAAATATAGGCTGATTAGAAACAGCAGTCAGGAACCCTAAAATACAGGCTGATAAGATACATTAGTCAGGAACCCTAGAATACAGGGCGATTTGATACTGTACTCTAGAATACAGGCTGATTAGATAGAGCAGTCAGAAACCCTAAAAGACAAACTGATAAGATACATTAGTCAGGAACCCTAGAATACAGACTGATTAGATACAACAGTCATGAACCCTAGAATACTGGGAGATTAGATATTGTAGTCAGAAACCCTAGATTACAGGCTGATAAGATACAGTTGTCAGGAATCTTAGAATACAGGCTGATTAGATAGACTAGTCAAGAACCCTAGAAGACAGGCTGATTAGATACATCAGTGAGGAGCCCTAGAATACAGACCGATTATGAACAGTAGTCAGGAACCCTAAAATACAGGCTGATTAGATATTGCAGTCAGAAACCCTAGAATACAGGCTGATAAGATACAGTAGTCAGGAACCCTAGAATACAGGCTGATTAGATACAGCAGTCAGGAACCCTAGAATACAGACTGGATAGAAACAGTAGTCATATACCCTGAAATACAGGCTGATTAGGTATTGTAGTCAGAAACCCTAGAATACAGGCTGATTAGAAACAGTTGTCAGGAACCCTGGAATACAGGCTGACTAGATAGTGTAGTCAGGTACCCTAGAATACAGGCTGATTAAATAGATCAGTCAGGAACCCTACAATACAAACTGATTAGATAGAGCAGCCAGGAATTCTAAAATACAGGCTGATTAGATAAAGTAGTCAGGAGACCTGGAATACAGTCGGATTAGATAGAGCAGCCAATAGACTACAGACTGATAAAAACTGATCAAAATAATAGTGAACTAACCTGCAGTTAACAAAGCCTGACCAATAGCTACAGCCTGGGACCTGGAAGTGTGATTATCCTAAAATAATCAATCAATCAATCATACATCAATATCAATCAACTAATCAAAAATACCAACATCAATCAATCATACATCAATATCGATCAATCAATCAATCAATCCTACATCAAAATAAAATAAATAGGATTGACAATATTAGTCAATCAATCATACGTCAATATCTATCCATCAACCATACAACAATATCAATCAACCAACCAACCAACCACTATAAATCAATCAATCATACATTAATATCAAGCATACATCGACATTAATCAATTGATAAAACACCAATAATCATAATCTATATAATCAAACAATTAATCATACATCAATAGCAATCAATTAATCAAACATCAATATTATATATTATATCATATCTGTTCGGTTCCATAGCAGTAAACCTATCGTGTAAGAATTCCCATTATTACACGGTTCAGGAGTAACAATTTTAATATTGTTCGCTTCCTAGCGTTTAAGAATGCTTATTCTTACAATGTAAGTGTAGAATTTTCATTCTTTAACGCTCAGACCGTGTAAGAATGGAAATTATTACACGGTCAGAGCGTGAAAGAATGTATACGACACATGCATTACTTTCAAATTAAGAACCAATTTTTACTTCTAAAATGTTTTTTTTTTAACATTTTAACATTAGAAAAATAAAAAACAGTGTAGTCAGAACAAGAGCATAAAACTTATTTGCAACCTTTCATAATGTGAACTCTTCCAATTTGAAATAGTCGGTTTTCACCAGAATTATTTTTTGATACAATTTCTTGGGTATGCGCCCATGGAACCTCACAAATATGATATAATAATAATCTTATGAGGATAAAAATGTAATAATGGTATTCTTAAACTCGATGAAATAATTTTGATGCATTCTTTAACTCAGGCCTGCGGCCTTCGTTAAAGAATACATCAAGATTATTTCATCTCGTTTCAGAATTTCCATTATTACATTTTTTTCCTCATAAGATTATCATATTATTATTTATCAGTCAGTCAGTCAGTCAGTCAGTCAGTCAGTCAGTCAGTCAGTCAGTCAGTCAGTCAGTCAGTCAGTCAGTCAATCAGCAAGTCAATCGATCAATCAATCAGTCAACCAATCAATCAATAACCATCGTGTAAGATTTAAATTATTACATAAAAATTAAATCAAACAATCGATCAATCAACACACTTCCAAAACATGAACAATGTGATATGTTAAATAAAAATGATAAATATATCACCTGGTCTATCAACCAATCCACAAGCTTGCATCCTTGAAACGTATCCTGAACAATGACAGCAAATTACTTTAACAATCCTACCATCATAATCATATGCAGATATTAATCCAAGTTGAAATCCATTTCATTTGATGCGGATCTGGACCCGGATTCGGATTATGGATCCGCCCTGAAAAAAAATGAATCCAGGCAATAAAAATTTCTTCTTTAAGATTTCCTGATTTTTTTAGAAAAGAAGACTTTCTTTTTTTCGCTTATTTTCATGCTAAAACTTGATGAACGATTTAATTTTTAATAATTTCTCTTTTTTCAAAATGCGAGATTTGAGTATAAGAGCAAAAAGTTTCTTACAGTTTTTGGTTGATGCCTCTTGTTTCGGATTAAACGGATCCTAATCACACTGCAAGTTGGAAATACATTGCCAGCCATATAAGATCTGAAGTAGTATCTATGAGTCTCTAGATGAAGACCTCCATCAGGTTCAAGAATACGAGCCAGGAGTCGAGCAAGGGCAGCAGGATCCTGGAGAATGTATATTGTGCATGCTTTAAGAAAATGTCAAAGGCCGACTGTAAACGTAATTTCAAAAGAACTTCCATGCAAAGATGGCTATGCTTGATTTACAACGGTAACCATTAAAACATACTGATCAGATCCAAATTAAATTAGACAAGCTATTTTTGTTTTTTTGTTTTGTTTTAAACTGTTTATTTTCGTTTGTTGTTTCATTCTTCGCTTTTTTCAACAATTCAGCGAATAAGACCCTGAAAAATCATTCTGTGAACATTTGGTAGGGGTGGGGGTTGAAAGGGGAGAGAATGATTTTAAAGAAAATAAAAAACCCTGGAACAATATTTCGTTCAAAAAAAGGAAAAATTCATTTTTAACTAACCTTGAGAATAACTGTTTCATTTGTTTCCTTAACAACGTCTAGAGTAGCTGAATCCACCCCTGTACTACCGTACAGGTCAACAGACGCACTAACCTTTCTCGTAGATTTTCTAAATATGTATAGAGATTGTTTTCTAACCTTCCTTGTGGATTTTCTAAATATACCTTTTTCGTAGATTTTCTAAATTTTTTTGTAGATTTTCTAACCTTTCTCGTAGATTTTCTAAATTTTTAAAAGGAATTGTTTTCTAACCTTCCTCGTAGATTTTCTAAACATTTAAAGGGATTGTTTTCTAACCTTCCTCGTAGATTTTCTAAATTTTCTCGTAGATTTTCTAACCTTACTCGTAGATTTTCTAAATATTTAAAGGGATTGTATTCTAACCTTTCCCGTAGATTTTCTAAATATTTAAAGGGATTGTTTTCTAACCTTTCTCGTAGATTTTCTAAATATTTAAAGGGATTGTTTTCTAACCTTCCTCGTAGATTTTCTAAATATTTAAAGGGACTGTTTTCTAACCTTTCCCGTAGATTTTCTAAATATTTAAAGGGATTGTTCACTAATTTCAAATACTCATATTCCTAATTTTTTTTTAATTAGGAAGACAACTTTGCTTCTCTTACTGCTCATAGATGTTCTTACTGTTCATTTAAAGTATTCTGATCCNTGTCTGCCACACACACACATTTGGCATAAAAATGTATCCGAATACTAGATTTAGCCTGAAGGAACAGATGATTCCCCTCAAAGTCTATTTTTCCCAATCCCTTTTCTTTGCAACCTGATGGAAAACCTAAAAACCTTTGACGACCTGATCATAGTTTAAAATATCTAAGGTTTATAACATTAGATTTCACAGATAAATGGATTAAAAAATTAGTGGCCCAGGAATTATTGTTCAACTTCAAGGGAGGATACAGCGGAGAGCCATAAAGCAACGGCTCAGCCATGACAATTTCTACCCCTCTAAAAATAATTAGGAGGGAGCAACGGAAAAGGGAGAGAAAAATATGAGTTGGCTCACCCCTAACAAATTCCTGTACCCACGCTGATAACATTTTTTTTATTGAAGAGAAGAAATAATATAAAAATTATTTGAACAAATCTTAAAATAAATAATTTACCCAAAGTTAGGGGAGTGTGACAGCTGAGCAGCAACATCGTCAATTGATCGTCTTCGGTTTCCATGATACGCCACGCTCAGGGTACCATCCGCAGCAGGCACTCGTCCCTAGGCAGCAGGCATAGGGCTAAATACTTATTCCTAGGTAGTTTACATATAAAGCTGAATACTCGTCCTTAAGCAGTGCACATATAGATTTAAATACTCGTCCTTAGGGAGAAGGGATATAGAGTTAAATACTCATCCTTAAACAATAGGAAAATAGAGTTAAATACACTTCGTGAGGCAGTAGGCATATAGAGTTAAATACTCGTCCTTAGGCAGGAGACATATAGAGTTAAATACTAGTTCTTAGGTTGGTGACATATAGTTTAATACTCGTCATCAGGCAGGAGACATATAGCGTTAAATACTCGTCCTTAGGCAGTAGGTATATATAGTTAAATACTCGTCCATAGGCAGTAGGTATATATAGTTAAATACACGTCCTTAGGCAGTAGACATATATAGTTAAATACTCGTCCATAGGCAGTAGGTATATATAGTTAAATACTCGTCCTTAGGCAGTAGGTATATATAGTTAAATACTAGTCCAAGATGCAAACAATATCGTCGTTTTTTAACAGCGTTCCCGACAATTATCTCACTTTGGTGAGCTTGGAGAGAACATACTGACTATTTCTAGGTTCCATTTCGCAAAATTTTTGTCAGCGCATTTTCAACCTCAACGTTACAAATAGTGATACAAGGACATTCATATATCTACTGTATAAATTGAAGCTTCGGCAAAAAATATGACATTTTAAAAAATATCCCACTCTTTAGAGACTCCTTGAAAGTAAAAAGTAATTGGTGCCGAGCCCAGTGCAAAAAAAAACAGTAAAATATAAACAACATTTGTATACAAATATACCAACGGTCAAAAAACTAAAAAAAATATTTAATTATTTACCTGTTCCACAAAGTTTTGGTAGAACCCATAACAGAAAGTACAAACCCTAAATTAATTATACTAACTTCATTTCAAAGAATTAAAAATTGATATTTATAAATTATTCTAATGATAACATGGGCAGAGGTATCCATCAAACTGTAAAATAGGAAGACGACTCAAGTTATGATTTGGAATAGACCAAAGAATCCTAAAACACAGAACTTGTGCAGTGTAAACAGACCCAATACACTTAATAAGATGATTTGATAACAACATAAAATACACATAAAATTACTTAAATATAATCTTTTTTTCCACAGTTTACTGGGTCACACTGTAGAAAGATTTACTAATAAAAATTGAATATTTATCATAATTTAATAACCTAAGGTTTCCGTTGTAACCAATCTGTTTACCAGAAATGTAACTGTTACAGCACTTGCTGCAGAATACCTAGAAATTACCAAATAGAAAATATGAGCAATAAAATAAAAAAATTTAAATTCAATTTTTGATTCCATCAAAGCTATCAAGCAGCATGGATACACATAAACATGGAAACAAAGAACAGTTGTCAATTAAAAACTTCTTTTTGTTTACAAGTAAACTTGCAATTTGAAAAAAGCTTGATAGAAATAAAAATTAAAGTAGATAAGTATTGTTCTGTATTCTCTTTAATGTAAAGGGTTACCCACAAAGAATTATACTGTAAAGGCGACCTTAGACTATTAAGATATGTCAATCCGAAGGTTAAATTCAGTTTTTTTTCTAGAGGAATAGTATGTGTTAAGGATGAAAATTATCATTAGCAAAATCATTTTTATTATTTAATAACCAGTGTCCGAATTTAATGAATTTAAGCCGCGTCTCCATTCCTCAAAAAACGGTTTTATTTAAGCGCCACGGCTTAAATCTTGAAAAATTCGGTCTCAGAACTTTCTTAATCAAAAGCATTTCATTAATTAAGTATCAGATGACCTCACAATCAAAAGCGTTCATCATAAAAGAATAAAATAATCTCAATTAGTATCAAATATGCTGTTACCTGTCCACAAACCCTACAATGGTGTCGCCGCCGAAACGAAGTGAACTAAAAAAAAATATTTTCCAACTCTGAAATTTGTCAAGAAATAATTTCTGCAATCTACATTGATTAAGCGTTTATTGTATTGATTGTGCGAATTCTGTTTATGATTAAGCGTTGTCTGTATTGGTCAAGCGTTTTCTGCATTCCTAATGCGATTTTTGCATTGATTCAGCATAATCTATAAATGATTAAAAGGTTTCTTTATTGATTAAGCGATTTCTGCAACGCTCATGTGATTTCTACATTGATTTAGCGATTTTTGCATTGACTATCAAATTTACCTGGAGAAGAAATTAATTTTTTTTAAAGATCTAGATATTTATTCTTTGCTAATATATTTGAAGATTTCAACGGGTTTACATAACATTAGATTACATTTTCATAATTTTCATATTATATATACTTATATATTTTAATTTATTTTTCCAACTCGTATTAAAATGCATTGAATTATAAATAAAATCTTTTATAAAATGACCGAAAACAGCATATCTTAAAATGATCATTTTTTTCTTCAATATGAAAACAAACTTACTTTTGACGTACAATCATAACACTCCACAGTAATATCATCAGGCATCCAGTACTGTCTGAACAAATCATATTTTTCATCAAACCAGCTAAGTAAAGTACACAGTTCACATAATAAAACAAAGTACACTTGTCTCAATATATAGTACAACTACCTGTGTATCTGCAACTCACCTACCTGAGAACACAATACACCTACCTGAGTAAACAGTACACCTACCTGAGTACACAATACACCTACCTGAGTAAACAGTAAGCCTACCTGAAAACACAACATACCTACCTACCATCTACTTTTGCACACAATACACATACCTGAGTAGACAATAAACATACCTGAGTGCACAATACTGAATACACCTACCTGAGAATACAATGCACCTGTCTAGTACACAGTACACATACCTAACTACACAGTAATCTTCCTTGATAACACAGTACACGTACCTCTGTACATATTAAAACTACCAAGTGGGGCGGTCCAGAAATCGTTCTCTACGGAATTACTAACATGACTTAAGGACGCAGTACACTTACCTAAATACATTCTCATTCTCATTGCTAGAGAGAAGGTTGGTGAGCTTGGAGAGAACATACTGACTATTTCTAGGTTCCATTTCGCAAAACTTTTTTCAGCGCATTTTCAACCTCAACTTTACAAATAGTGTTACAAGGACATCCATATATCTACTGTATAAATTGAAGCTTCGGCAAAAAATATGACATTTTAAAAATTTGAATCCATTAAAATGTATAAACATAACTCCAAAACCTAATCATGATCGAAAATAACTAATTCGCGACGGCGCGATCCGACGGAAAGCGAGGCTAGGATACTTTGGCCATGGCACTAAACTAAAGTGGAGAAAAAATGCCAATCGCAGCGCTCGGCCCCCTAGCCCATCCTAGCCGCAGCGCTCGGCCCAGAAAGTGTCTTAACCTAACCTAACCCTAAATAACAAAAAAATAAATAATAATAAATTTGCTGAAAAATAAATGGTCATGTACAAAATTGATGTGAGGGGGGGAGGCGGGGGTCCAAAAATCGTTCAATAGGACAGACCCAAAAAACTATCTTAGAGGCAAAATATACAAGTACTCATGGCTATTGTCATTACATTATGATAAAAACTCTGCTTAATAATGTCTCTAAAGTCTACACTCTTATAAAATAAAAGAATGCGCACTATTTGACAATTGCCGCGATTGTTTTTAAATTTCAGTATACGATAATCAACAAATCAATCTAAGGTGCCATATCAATGGGACTACTCTAAATCGCTCCTACTAGAATTTATTTTGACAAATTCCATCACAATTTTGACATGCACATGGGCCATAAATGAATTGATATAGAGGGAGGGCACTACGCGAACTCGAGTCCTTTTTTTCCCCTATTTGGACTTGAATGTTTTAGTGTTAAATATAACGATAACAATAGCAGTGGCACTTAATTAAAAATGGGGGGGGGGGCTCTTTTAATATTACATCTACTTGCATTTCCCTTCCTCAGGCAATCTACATTCTATATTGCGTTGCATTGCATATTCTGATTCACAACAATTTATCCTTCAAAGCTTTGTCTGATCAAGTATTGCATTAAACATCCATGTTTCCCATTTTGAAAACTGAATATTTTTATTTGTGGTTTCTCTACAAAAGTGACTCGCGCATTTCTTGCTTCAGAAACGATGTAGAAATGAAGGTTTCAAAGGTACATCGGACATGCCATTCCATAAATGGAGGGTCATTTGAAATTACGCAGGCATTCCATTTAAGTATAAATACATGGTATAGAAAAAAAATACTTAAAAATCTCACTTTTTCCTATAACTAAAAAAGTTTCATTAAAAAAGCATTAATCAATACTGCCTTTAGTGTAAATATAGATTTGATATCATTATATATAATTTGTTTAAAGAAGACATTTCGAAAAATGCTTCAACTCAGAATTGATTCTAGAAAATAATACAATATTTATCCCCAAGTAACAAAAGTGAGGAATTCCCCCAGATTCTCCAACCGTGGTGACTTTCTTTCAGGAATTTCCGAGGAATTTCTCGAGAATCATTTCCTGTAACTGATTCCTTGAAAATTCTCCAGAAATTCCCTAGAATTGGTCCTAGGATTTTTTCCATTTCCATTATGGAAAAGGTTCCGGAAAACCAGAATTCCGGAATGATTTCCGGAACGATTGTTTTTCCGTAAAACGGAAATTTACGGAATGTTGTTCCGGAATTACGGATCATTACGGAATTCCGGAACGTTCCGGAAATTTCCGGGACGTTCCGGAATATCGTTCCGGAAATTTTCCGGAAAATCGTTCCGGAAATTTCCGGTTTCCGGAACATTTGGTACCAGAATTACATTAAAGTCTTACATATGTAAATACAACACCAGTTAGTAACACTAACAATATATGGATGGATGCCGGACGGTAGAAATGGGGGGGGGGGGCAATGATCCTCAATTTTTTTCTTCAAATTTTCAAACTTTGTAAATATGAATTTAATTAAAATAAGAAAAATTCTTTAAGTTCCGGTTTACGGAATGGAAATTTTCCAGTTTACGTTACGTAAACCGTAAAAATTTCTGGTTTACGGAATGGAAACCGGAAATTTTTCCGGTTTACCAAATGGAAACTGGAAATTTTACGGTTTCTGATCCGTAAAACGGAAATTTTTCCGGTTTACGTGACGTAAACCGGAAAATTTCCGGTTTCCATTTATACCGGAATCATCCCGGAATTCCGGTTGACGCAACAAATTTCCGGATCACTCAATTTCCAAAATGGAAATTTTTTTCCGAAAAAACGGAAACCGGAAACGGAAAACGGAAATTGGTCCCCAAGATGAGAGATTTTTGTGGGATCACAGTTTTGAGACTCAGTTTCGAGAAATTCCTGAGAAATTCTCCAGAATTTTTCCCCACGAAATTCCTCAGAATTTTTCCAGAATTATTCTCTGGAAATTCCTGAGAAATTCTTAGGACTTGTCACCATGTTTACGGATTTTTCGGGGAATTTATTAAGAGAATTAGTTTCGAGAAATTCCTGGGAATTTCTCCGGAATTTCACACCAAGAAATTCCTGAGAAATTCTCCGGAATGCTTCTCCAGAAATTCCTGAGAAGTTCTTAAAACTTGGTCACCAAGTTTACGGATTTTTCGAGAATTAGATAAGAGAATAAGTTTCGAGAAATTCCTGAGAATTTCTCAGGAATTTTTCTCAAGAAATTCCTAAGAATTTCTCAGAAATATTTCTCCGGAAATTCCTGAGAAATTCTCAGGACTTCCTCACAGAATTTTCAAGTTCCGTTTTTCACCAATAGGTGTCTCTGAGGTTCTCTTCTTTTATGCACTGCTCAAACTAAATCTTTTTTTCTTTGCATCCTTCTTGATAAAAAATGATAATTTACTTCAGAACCCTCTTTTAAAAAAATATTTAAAACATTTTAAATTTTTTTTTTATTTTTTCTTGACAATTCACTTGTCTGAATAAACAAAATACATGACAACTTCAGTAAGATCAAAAACGACTATAACATTGACTTAAGAAGTTGACTTAAGACTAAAAAGTTGGAGGGGCAATATATTTGTTAAGTTATTCACTACTTTTGTTAGTGAATATTTCAAGATATTCCTGAGGAACTCTTGAGAAAATCTTGGAAATAGTTCCAGGGAAATTCCCAGAAATTGGTTCTAAAGACCTTTTCGCTACAAATTTTCTCTGGTTTTTCTGAAGAATTGGTAACAAGAAATTCCCTAGAATTGGTTACAAGAAGTTCCTTGGATAGAGTTACGAGAATTTCCTCGGAATGGGTTGTTACAAGAAATTCCTCGGACCTGGTTCCTCGGAACGGGTTACGAGAAATTCCTGGGAAAAGCTGTCGACATTTTCACCGGATTTTTCTGTGAAAGATTCCTGGGAATTTCCTCGGATTCCCAGGAAAGATTCCTGGAAATTTCCGCAAAATTGTTACTTGGGTCAATCCTATGAAAATATTGATAACTGTTTAGAAACATTTCCATCTACAGGGTGTCCCACATCTTACAGGGTGTCCCACGAAACATGACAGTTGATGAATAGTTCAGAATGTTTTTTTCCATTATTTGTTCAGTTGTTTGATACCTAAGATCAATAAAAATATTGAAATGGTTAGGTTCTACTTTCGTAGAACGCCTTAGAAGAATCTTTCATCATCAGCCTATGGACGGGTTACTGCTATACATATACATCCCAGTTCTATTTTTAATTAAGAATCTGGTAAATTATAAATCCAATGAACCAGGCAAGAAAAATTCTCCCAAAAAAACCTTCTTTGAACTATTGGATATAATACCTAAAACGATCATCCTAGGGTAGTGGTGGTTAGTTACCAAGCTAAAAGTTAAAATTTTAGTTTCTTGGTTTAGCTTGAATTTAGATTGATTTATATAGCTCTTTGATTTAAATAGATTTATCTTAATTTATCTTAATTTATTTTGATTTACTTAACTTACCTTGATTTACCTTGATTTACCTTGATTTATTTTGATTTACCTTGATTTATCTTGATTCATCTTGATTCATCTTGATTCATCTTGATTGATCTTGATTTATCTTGATTTATCTTGATTTATCTTGATTTATCTTGATTTATCTATATTTAGCTATATTTAGCTATATCTAGCTGTATTTAGACATATTCAGTCACAATTAGCTATATTCAGCTATATTAAGCCATATTTAGCTTGATTTAGCTTGATTAGATTGTATTAAGGTTGATTCATCTTTAATTCCTCTCCAGCACAATTCTGGTTTATTTGAAATTAGTTCCCTATCTTGATTTATGTTGATTTATGTTGATTTATGTTGATTCATGTTGATTTATGTTGATTTATCTTGATTTTCCTCGACTTTGATTGAAAAAGCTGGATCAAATTTGATTTACCATCAGTTCCTCTCCAGCATAATCCTTTCAGAAAATACACACATATTTTCTACCATGTTAATTCTCCTAATAAAAGTGTGAATTGATCTACTGACTTAAGGATTTTGATTGAGACTTTCCAATTCTGGTCCACTTTTTCCACAACAATGCACTGCAAGCCAGTTCCCTTAGTCTGGTAATAATTTTGAACTGGTTAGGTTCTACTTTCGTAGAAGGCCTTAGAAGAATCTTTCATCATCAGCCTATGGACGGGTTACTGCTTTACATATACATCCCAGTTCTATTTTGAATTAAGAATCTGGTAAATTATGGATCCAATGAACCAGGCAAGAAAAATTCTCCCAAAAAAACCTTCTTTGAACTATTGGATATAATACCTAAAATGATCATCCTAGGGTAGTGGTGGTTAGTTACCAAGCTAAAAGTTAAAATTTTAGTTTCTTGATTTAGCTTGAATTTAGATTGATTTATATAGCTCTTTGATTTAAATAGATTTATCTTGATTTACCTTGATTTATTTTGATTTACCTTGATTCATCTTGATTTATCTTGATTTTTAAGGGAGACACGTTATATTAAAATTGATTTCAAAGTAAAATATAATTAAGCAAAAGATTTGTTTAACTAAAAATAACTATTTATCAAATGTCATGTTTCGTGGGACACCCTGTATCTTCGAGACTAATCAGATATTTCAAGAAGAATGAATAATTTTAAAAATTTAATAAGGCTATAAGAAGAATTTTTCTTCCGGAAAATTCTACGTTTTTCGATTATCATGGTTTTTTTGGTAAGTACATCAAATAACTACATTTACTTAATGCTTGTAAATGTTATTTACCATAAATTTTGAAAGGAATTTAAAAAAAAAAAAAAAAAAAAAATTTCCTGGAAAGACAGAAAAGGAAAACACTTTTCTTCAAATTCTTATCTAAATTTCTAGTTTAATTTCTGGTTTTTTGAAAAACTATGGATGAGTATATATATACTTTATTATTCTTCATTTATTGTTAAAATATGGCACTTCCGCCATTTATGCTTTGTAAGAATGAAAAAAAATCAATTAAAAATTGACAAGGAAAAAGAAAATAATTCTTTTCTATCATCTGGCTTTTAAATATTCTTAGATAATTACACATATATCCCAATTTCTCTTATACTTTTTAAATAGTTTGACGAGGAACCAACTGAACCTGTGCACGGTAGCTGTATGAGACAGAAAATCCCACAACGGAAGGAATAACGGTAAAAAAGATTAAATAAAACTTATATGAGCCCGTAGAAGAATCGAAGACGTTAACTCTTTAATCTTATCTCACCATCGTCGTCGAAAAACCCTATTTAAAACTTTTCACTTTCAAAAAAATTAACGTAAGTTCTTTTTAATAATATGTCAAGTATCTCTAATTTCTGCCTTAATGAAAATCGATCTAAAAGTGTAATCCTTCACTATCAAAAACTAAATCTGTAATATCACGTCTGTGAAATTAAAAACTTAAAGCGATGCAATAACAAGTATATGTAATTAAAAATTTCGTTAAGAACCCTAAAATATACGACTAAAATTGCAAAAAAATTTCAAAGTTTCTCTTTATACTTAGTTAAACCGAAAAATATACGACTAAAATTGCAAAAAAAATTTCAAAGTTTTTCTTTATACTCAGTTAAACCGAAAACTGGGTCCCAGCTGACAGCCAGACGAATCTCTGGCCTGGCGATCCCGGATCTACACCCCACAACTGACAACTAATGGTAGAAAAAGATTTTTTAAAAAAGTTCTGTGGAAAACTGGCAGCTGTAGTCACCCTCACTGGATCATATATTTTCTTTTTTGCACAGAAACCGAGGACGGGCACACGGACCACACCGGACTGTAAAGGTTTAACAGAATGAATTGTATCTAATCTATCTTCTAAGCAGCAAAGTGCCAAGTTTTAACAATCGTGCTCAAAACCGAAAGGCCTTTCAACGTAAATTTGAGGAACAAGTTTTTAGTTTTTAGTTTCTAAAATATGCTCAAAATCTGATGTACATACTTCTCAATAGAATCTCGAGAAATTAGATTATTAAAATCAAAGATATCACTTAAATATCTCAATGTTTAAACTATATTCTTGATTTCCAATGATAATTAAACTACTTTCTAGAATTCCAATGATATCTGAAATTATGAGAATTGAACCCAACCCACACGCTCAGTCATAATCACGACGGCCTTGCTGTTAAAGGAAAACGAAAGAATTCTTTTTTTCTTGTTTTCCCTTTCTAAACAGTCTTCTCTTTATCTAGTTAAACCGAACCCGAGAAGATGAATGAGAGCGAGAATATCCTTGAATCTGTCGAACCTCAGAGGAACTGGGGGACCCCATATCGGTACTTCTCGGCGAAAAATAACGGTAAAAAATATATTTCCATAAGTTCCCGTGAAGATCCCTTACAACACTAATGAAGTCTAAATCTTTTTTTTATACAGAGAGCAGGGGTGTGCACACGGAACATTTTGGACTGTAAAGGTTGAAACTTTTGAACCGAAACGAATGTACACGATATCTAATAGAATTTTAGAATTTTTAAGATTCTAAATTGTGGACGGAAAGTGATTTCAACTTGAAGTCTACAATGTTAATCGTATAAATTAAAAAAATTTAACTTTTTATCTATTTTCCTTAATTGGATATCTCGGATATAAAAGTTTACTACTGAAATTCTGTCCCTATAAATAAATAATCTGAAATAACGTGTTTTAATCAGTAAATCTTTATTGAAATTTTTCGGAGAATGATCCGTAAACTATAAATAGGACTTGAGCCAAAAACTGAATTTCCCTTCTCAATCTGAATTGTATTTAAAAATAAACTAATTATCTTTTTATTGATTCAGTCTGATGAAACTGTAACGCCTCCTGAACCGACAGACCCAGGACGTCTCAAGAAGATAGGACAACTACGCTACAACGTTATCTCAAATTTGTAGCTCAATACAATGAGCTAACATAATTGCTTCTTGGCTTAAAAGATACTAACGAACCATCAATGTTCGTAATTAGTATATTTTTTAAATATTTAGTCCCTTCGGACACCATGCTAATGAAGCCTCAATATTATTAAGACGAACCATCAATGTTCGCATTTATTATTTTTCTCAATTATCATTTTCCTTCGAATACTTCTTAATTATTGTGTTCCTTCTTTCGCTTGCTTATGAAGCCCCAATATAAACGAATTGACATATTTTCGCGTAAAATGTAGCCTCAATATAAACGAAGAACGTGTAATGTTCCTCGTTATGAAGCTTACATTAAATTACTTTAATGTAAAAATGGAAAGTCGCTCCCGTGTATGTTTATGTGAAAGCATGCACACTGTTAATTGTAGCCTTTTCTAATAAGAGATAACACACATTGTGTATGTAGTATCTCACAGTCAGATTTCACAAAAGAACGCTACCCTTAATATATAATGTAGTTTTTTCTCTCGAACTGCTGTAAAAAAGCTCATCACAATGATTGATTAATTTATGATTCATATAATATATACTTACTGTTAAATATGTATTTACATGAAATACACTTTTATTTATAACTCTAAAAATAAACTGAAAACTACTTGCAGACTCTTAACAGCAAAAATTAGCATGATTTACGTAGCATTAATTACTACAAGATCTATAGTAATAGCAGGAAATAAAATGGTTTAAATACCCTTCCTTGAACAAGCCGTCACCCTACCCCAGATTTACACAAAAGTTCGTTAATTAGTTCGACCCCCACCATCACTTTATACACGTACATCTAAACAGTTTGTTTTTAAGAAACCTTCAAGACAGAAACAATCTCAAGGAATAATAATTCATATAACATTTTTTAAAGTAAATATTTGCAAATTATCTTTTTCCATCTCATAATCTGAGTTCGTTTCCCTTATGTCCATTTGACAGCCAAAATTTTTATTTTGAATAATCTTTTTTGTTTGTTTATTTCCTTGCGATTTTTAACGATTTTTTTTTTATCAATTTTGATGGTTATTATATCGTTAGAACTGACGAGGGTCAACCCAGACCGAAATATATTCAATAAATGTGGAACAAACATCTACTTTTTTACTCTTCAATCAAATATTATGATAGGATATGAATAATGATAAATCCAGATTTTTTTACATCGCTTTTAGATAGATCAATTTAATGAGATTTACCTCCCCTGTAATTATAACTATTAGAAGAACGTTCAAATGTTGAAAAAATAGATTTTATTCCTCCCACACGACTCAAACGAATCACACGACCCACACCTATTTTAAATTGGAACATTGCCCTTGCTTTCTCTAAATATGAAAATGAAGGAAAAAAATATATATTCAAGATAAAAATACCTTACAAAGAATTAATGGTTAAATAACAATTTCACATCTGAATGAATTTTCACATAATACACTTCTAGCACGAAGATAAGGAACACGACTACTATCAAATATACTATAAGGAGGACATTGACCTGATGAAAGGCACTGTTTAGTGGGACTGTAAGCGTAATTTCAAGTGACCCTCCATGCAAAGATTGCCTTGGCTCGATTAATAACGCAACCATTGAAACTTATGTCAAATGAAGAATGAATCAGATGTAAACATAGTTTCATTAAATTGAATATTTTATTTGCCGTTTTTCTTCTTAAGTGCCGTTGTAAGTCGGGCATTGACCTCTTTTCCTGAAGGGTCACTGAAAACTACGCAAATAGTGGCATGAAGACTAGAGATAAAAAATGTTAGTGCATAGCTCAATATTTAACAGATTTGCTTAAAAGATAAGATTATGCAAGAATCGCCAATAGCCTCTGCTGTGTATTCGGCGGTAAAGCGGCGGTAACCGCCTGAAATTCAACGGCAAAATCTCGAGATATCTGTTTCACCAGTTCGGCAACAATCGGCAGAATCTAAACACAGAAACATTATAAACATACTTTCTTGGGTCACCGATAGATTTAAATTTCGTTTTTTATAAAATTCTTTTCTTTTAGTATCCATTTCAATTAAATGCGGATCAGAATCCTGGATCCGCGCCTTAAATTTGTTTTCGCTTATTTTTGAACGAAATATATATCGATAAGAAATTTTTTGATAATCACTCTTTCCTATAAGATCAAATTTGAGTTAAGTTGGTTTTCAGCAGTTTGATTGAGATGTTGCCCCTTAAATCCGAATCCGTAAATCTTATTTTGGCGGATTCAGATCCGGGAAGACAAAATGTTGCGGAATCAAAGGATCCAGATTCTACACATGCAATGTCGTAAAGGGATAAGATAGTTAATGAATTTATATTTGTATCAAGTGAAGTGTATCTAGAAGGTACAAGATCCTACTAGACATAGCGAACACAGAAGTATATTCTAACAGCATGAACGCCAAGTATTAGATTGAAAACCAATCCTGGAGCTGATGCTGTAAAAACAGGAAATTTTAGGGATGTATATTGTATAATGTATATTGATTAGAATTATCTTCGCCCCCTTGATGATTCGGGAGGAAGAACTAGAAAATTCAACCTTAATATTAAATTTTTCACTCAAATCGTTAATTTTAGGGAAAAAACTCGTTTTCAAAAGGGGAGGGAAGAAGGGGAAAGAAAAATTACTTCTAGAAAATAAGAAAATTTTCGAAATTGCTCACAAAATTTTTTTTTACACAATAAAATTGTATATGGGGTAAATTTATTATGGGGGTATGCACTACACATGTTTTAAATTCAATTACGATCATTAAATGCTGGCAAGTTAAATGAATTCACCCCACCCACCCCCACACTTTATTTACTACTTTCTGGGTAAATTTTACCCCATAATTGTATATAATCTCACCGTTTTCTTATCAATATCCTTTGCGGTCTGACATACCAGTGCACATTCCAGTATTTTAGGTATATTTGCCTTAATGCTTTCATCACCTGAACAGAGAGACATTCATTTATTTAAAAGTGTAATATAATAATATCAAACATTCAGAAAATTTCAAGTCTCCTTAAGAAAGATCCGCTAAAACCTCAATGGTTGCGCAAATTCGGATTCAGGTTACGGGATACAAAAAATAACCAATATTTCATAAAAAATAATTTGATTGATCACCTAAGTAGGACAAGCTGATACAAACCCCCTTGACTATAGATTTGGTGAAAAACGAGATAAGTGTAATTCAAAAACCTTATTATTAGTAAATTATGTTTATGCAAAGATTGCAATACCCCATTCACAATGGTATGTTTATGTCTTCCACATTATGGATCAGATTATCTTCCACATTATTGATCAGATTATCTTCCACAATATTGATCATATTATCTTTCACGTTATTGATCAGATTATCGTTCACGTTATTGATCAGATTATCTTTCACGTTATTGATCAGATTATCTTTCACGTTATTGATCAGATTATCGTTCACGTTATTGATCCGATTATCTTTCACGTTATTGATCAAATTATCTTCCACAATATTGATTATATTAAGGATTCAAGGGCACAATGCGGAGTAAATCGGGCATGACTATCTGCACGTGGTCACTTTAAATTACGCTTTCAGTCACTTGATAACATATTCAAATATTTGTAAAAATATACCTGCTGCGTATAGCTTGGTCAGAGCCTTGAAGATCATCTCGTATTCATCCTTATCCTCTTTCAAGGGTAAATTTTCCATCATGACGGGGATTATTTCTTGTTTAGGTATACTTGCAGACTCAAGTACTAGAAACCTTAACAAATTATAAATAATAAATTCATTAAATGACTCATGTGCGCGTGTCATGTTTGATTCTCAATGATATCCTTAAGATGCCTGCCTCCTTTAAATCAAATAAACAATTGCAACCATGAGAGATCATTTGACGAGTATTTACTGCACTAAAACTAGCACATAATTTTCAGTTAGAGCAGATGGATTATTCAGAGTCCAGTGCTTAGGATCCGGATCCGTAAGATTTTGGCTTCCTGGATCCGGATCCAAGGGGCAAAATATAAACAAAAACTACAAAAAAGTCGCTCTCAAAACCCAAATCGCTATTGAAAAAAAGATTGTAAACTTTTCCTGATTTCTGAATGGTTCCATCATGTTACAGCATAACAATAAGCGAAAAAATACAAGTTTGAAAATTCTGCGTTGTTAAAAAATTAGTTAATTATATAGAAATACCCTGGATCCGGATCTGGATTCGGATCCAGTTATTAACAGTGCGGATCCAAGATCCGAATCCGCATCAAAATTAAATGGATCCTAAGCACTGATTCAGACAAAGTGAACAGTTAAGGACGTTAATAGAAAATGAAGTTCCTACCACTTCAGAAAGAGTAAATTCTGTCACCTTGGACATGAAAAATTTCAACCTTATTTAAATACTTAAGCGTAGATAGCCCATTTAAAAGTAAAAGACATCAACACAGTTTAGGTCAAAAAAAAACTTACCTAGCAACACATCCGACTATCTGATCAATAACTCTGGGAGCTCCCTCTCCTTTCAGCAGTATAGAGAGAATACTCAGTATCTGGTTGTAATGTGGAACCATGATCTCTCCTCCCCACAAAACCATCTCACCCAACCCGTACACGGCGTTGTTCCTCACATCAGTCTCCTCGTCCTTGACAGAGTCCTGGAACACGGGCAGGACAAACTGCTTGAAGGACTCTAAGCGGCCCTGAAGCGGCTCCATGCAGTCCGCCAGCGCTCCGACGGCAAAGCTTCTCTCCGCCGTGCTACACTGCTTTTTAGTCTTCTTAAGCAGCATCTGGAGTAGTCCCATGAAGTACGGAGCAAATCCGTCCGGAGTCATCGCTCGTCCCAGGTTGGGTAGAACCTCTCCGGCATACTCGAACAACATCTCGTCCTGTTCTGCCTCCTCGTCCTCTTCTAACCCCTCCTCCTCCTCCTTGTCCTGGCAGGCACACTCCTTTTTCATTATCTTGGTCACCGAAGTAACAATCTTCTCCGGAATACCGGGAAGAGAGGTTACCCCGAGCTTACAGTGCTTCAGCATCTCCGTGATCCCATCTAAGCTTGAGATAACAACACTGTGCTCGGATTCCTCTTCAATCATCTCACAGAGCTTGGGGATGAATCCAGTTGTTCCCTTTGTGAAGGCTGTCATACCATCAGCTTAAAAAATGTGTAAAAATTAAGAGCGTTCACTTAAAAGGTTCGATCAAAAATTTAAAGACTTTCCTGCATTATCTCAAGTGACTTATTATGTCTAGCATCGCCAATCCTGGACGGTACGCTTTAGTAACAGTTTTTTTTAAAATCAACAACAGATAGATCAAAAACACAATTTTTTCAGTTCTAGTTTTAATCAAATGTTTTGAGTCAAACAAGACCCTGAAATAAAATGAGTCAATCAAAATTAAGTAGTCAGTCAGTTCGTAAAAACAAATAAAGATAACGACTCAATGTTCTACCTTGTCCGCTCTTGAAGTAAGCAGTAAGAAATGCTGCTGTAGCCAATATTGCTGCTCCCCGCACATCATCATCAGGATAATCTAGTAGAGTCCAGCTCTCTTCTAAACTCTGATAAATATAAGGATAGAAAGCAGCTCCACACTCCAGGCTGAAATCCTTCAGAGCAATCAACGCCTGCTCTTTCTCCGCAACAAAGGCATTCTCGACACCGATGGCCTTCACCTCGTCTAGATCTACATCGTCCTCCTGAGCAGTTTCATCAAGCGAAATCTCGTCATCCTCGTCCTCTAGGCTGTCCAGAGGAAGGTTGGTGTCGTCCCCCTCAACCTCTAGATGAATACCTTCGGTAGACTGCAGACTCTTCAACATTAATGTAACACAAGACTCCATAATAGCAGACATTTCTTCCTTAACAATGGAAGCTACAGCTCCGAATAGATTGTACGCACATTTTCTGACATCAGGGTCGTCGTTAGATTCGACTAACTGCATCCCAATATTGATGCATTTCTCGGCAAACTCGCGACTGAAATTTTCCTTTCCAACGCTTCGGGCTAGAATGCTCAAAGTTGCCATACTTGTCGTCAGTAGCACCTAGACAAACGAAAATTAAAATTGCAACATCCAAAAACACAAAGTAAAACATGCAACATGTATAACGTCGAAAACCCCACCTGAGTATCGTCCGTATGCTGCATGGTAAGGTATCCTTGTAGAGGAACAAGAACTGTATCAAAATACGGGATAATCTCGGAGCCTACAGCGTTGGCAGCTGAACCGATCAGATTAATCCCGAGCTCCCGGACCCTGATCGAGAAGTTCTCGTTGAGCGAGTCCAGGGCCCTCTTCATCAGATCCCCAAGATACGGGACCAACTTCTCCTCAAGGTTCTCACAGAAGGTGTCAAGGGCGTAGAAAATTCTGGATACACTAGAGGACTCCTGAACAGGTTAAAATTGTTAAAAATTGGACGAAAATTTTAAATTTTTGGTTGTGGTTAGGGGCAGAAGTCATATCAAATGGTACACAAATAAGGGAAGACAGTTCTTAATAGGGGTGGGGTGGGGGGGCATTGATTTTTCCAAATTTAAGAACAGAGTCAAACAATCCAGAGCTGAAAACTTTAGAATTGTGGATATTGAGATCAATGGTTAATCCTCTTTTATTATTCTCAAGACTAATTAAGTCTTAAGTATGCATCCTGCAGTGCTTAGGATCCGGATCCATTTTTTTCCAGAGCAGATCCAGGATCCGAATCCGTATAAAAATTAAATGGATCCTGAGCACTGGTATCCTGAAAAGAGCATAATTCGACCATACAGAGTGGCGTTACAAAATCCGGAAGAGCCAATCATAAGTCAAGAAATTTTGAAAATCTACGCGCCAATTCTGAGATCTCATTTTTCGGAATTTTGTAGGGGTTTGAAAAAAAAAGAAAGAGGATTAAGCAGGAAATTAAGAATGAAGGATATTCAGATTAATCGATCCGGATTAATGGTATCAAATTCTAAGTTCCCAGCTCTGTTCAAATAATCTGAAACAGTAATTGTAGTAATAACTGCACAATAACAGGAATTCCTATTTTCTGATTAAACACAATACCTGTACTCCAGGTTGCATTGCTAGGAAGGCAGTATCCAGGTACTGGAAGAGTACTGGAAGAATATCTCCAGCATAGTCGGAGATCTCTGGTTGTATGTACTCGGAGAACTGACCCAACATGTAGAGAGCAGAGTTCCGGACTGCAGGGTGCTCATGACGGATCCCATTACCTATAAGCAATGAAAATTAGTTTTAGAACATAGGCATATGATGAAAGTTTATTTTGGCGTCAAAACTTGGTAATAATGCAATACGATATGGGACGCTCTGTAAAAAAGGGTAAAAAAATATACTGTTAAACATTTTAATAATTTTTGGGGAATGGGACCACCCCAACTCTTTAATTCGACAATATAAACCCTGAACATTATTGAAGGGAATGAAATAAATATCCCTCTCGAATTCAAGGAGGAAAGATAATTCTTGACAAAAAAATAACCTAGAATTTGCAGGAAGCTGCCCAGATACTTGTTCCTAATATGTTCCTGACATCCCTCAGCTGATACAGCGAGAGCCTGGTAACCGGCGCGCTGGAAATACGGGTTGGGGTTTGCCAGTGCAGGTTGAACCTGAAATATTTCAGTTCAGTTTGAGATTACTCCGAGGACTCCTAACAGGGTGTAGTATGAGTTACAGACTTACAGTGATTAATATATGAATTATAATCAGAAGTTTTGTTGGTTTTCTGTTAGTAAAATAAAGCAGATTAAATGCATAAACGTATAACTAATATAGATCAATCAGATCAGACTTTTGGGGATTTTATCCACGATAAAATTAATCAAGAATGAAGGAAGGTCTTGTAGCTTGAAAACAGACTGATTTTCCCACTTTCAACTGTTCAATTGATAGCTAATAAATTTATTATAATTGGAAAATAATTTTATAATTATTTTTAGTCTTCTGCAATTTTTTTCCTGTCATAACAGCTACAACAGACATCCGACATTATGCCATAAAACTTTCAACATCCAACTAAAGACCCGCATCATAAATTTGCATTGGAGTTTAGTGATTTTTTTGTTAGTAAAATAAGGTATCTGAAGCATGAACGTGTGAATAATAATAAAAGATAAGTTCTCTACAAATTTTCTTCCGTTTTCAAATTTGGGCCCACATTTTTTGTGGTAACTCGCGTGAGTTAATGGATTCGAATATTCAAAAATTTGCCTGAAGAATTTCGTTTCTTGAAAATTTTGAAAAACCACTTTTTTTTGTAAAATCCGCGAAATATTTATTTTTATATTTTTTAATTAAAAATGCTCAAGTTTTTGAAATAGAATAATTTCTTCTTTGACCAGACAAGTTTTCAAATGGTAACCCTTTAAACAGAAGTTCCTTCATAAATTGAGTGAATTGAAAAGGAAAGTGGTTTGAGAACATAATATGATTATCTCTGACCTGGGAAAGAAGAGCTGAGATATATTTCTCTGGAGGAAGGTTGAGAGCAAGTGTATCCAGGGCCTGGCTAGCAGCTAGAGCAGGAGTATCATCATCCTCTTCTACATCATCATCCTCATCCTCAGCGTCATTCTGCATCATGATGCTAAATATTTTAGTCATTATGCTTTTTAGTTAAATCTGAAGCTTTTAAGCTTAATAGTCTCTTAACATGAATTTGAAGCCCATACCATATGTAGTATATTACAAAAAAATTATGCTACATAATTGTAGTTAAGTTTGATAAAAGGGTCAAAATATAACACTTGGCCAGAACATATTCCATTGAATATTGTGCTAATCTTAGTAGCTGACGACCTCCACAATTTACATATTTTACTATTTATTCTTGAATTCCATTCGAGTGCAAATAATGAGTAGGTGTAAACCCAAAATAAGAATCAAAATCGTAAAACTGATTCTATTTTAATCGTTAAATTCATAAAAATTTAATAATAAATATTTATCATATCTAATGTCGATACCACCGACAATTGTGAAATACTTCAGTGATCATTTAATGATAGATATTTAAATACAAATTGCCGTATTTAAATCAAAATTATGCGAATGACTTATTATTCGCACCAAGGACGATGCGAATAAAAAAATTCACGGGGTCCAACNCCCCCCACCCCACTCCCCATATCAAAACAATTAGTAAGTTCAATTTTGAAACCATACCTGAAAATAACATTGATCATAGGAATATAAAGCTTGTGCTTCACGATAGTTTTCTTCTTAAGTCTTGTCAATCGGCCGAGGAAAGTGACCGCCTTAATCCTCAACGGATCGTCCAGACTTTGTTCGGCGGCCAGGGCAATACAAAGTTCCACCATTGGTTTGATATGCGGGATGACGATCCCCACCTCACACTCGATCAGATCGTCGAATATGTCTAGGGCGATGGTTGCCTTGTCCTGGTTGGATGCGGCGAGCTGCTTGATTTTGACGAGAACGGTAGGGATCATTTGTTGGAATATATTCGCTTCCTCACTTCCGGTTCTCCTGATTTTAAATAAAACATTCACAATTTGTCAAATATTAATTTTATTAATAAACAAATCTGAGATTTCTCAGAGGGAGCGTACGTAGGGACTAGAGATTCTTTCTGCAAAATAATAATACAGTCAGAAATTATGTACGGTTTCTGGAAAGTTTATTAATAAAAAATATTTATGAACTAATCTTAAAAAATTGGAAATTGCTTAGAGTTGAGAAACCCCAAAAAACACTCGTTTTTGTCTATTTTGAAAAAAAAATGGAGGGCAAGTCTTCAATAGATGAATGGAACATTCCTAACAAAATGAGAGAGTGATTTGATTGTAAGAAAGCAAACTTCTTCCTCTGGATCCTCCAGAGTTTTCCTCAGCATCAACAACCAGTCCCGGAGCAAGAAGTTCTCCAGACTCTTCTGAACAAAAAGGGATATTGCTAGGATGTGAATAATTTCAAGAATAAATAGCTATGACTGAGAACACTGATTTAGACTTTTTTTTCATAATTTTGAGTGAAGCGAAATTTCTTTTAATGGCTTAGATCAATGAATTTTAGTATATAGGGGGAAATGGATTTCTTTATGAAACTCCAAGTGAGATAACAGTGGCAACCGTTATTAAATCTCCTACGGTCTTAGTCGTTTTCTATTATAAAGCTGGATAGATAAAAGGATAAATTACTTAAAAGTTAGAGAAGAGATAACTAATAAAGGATGAATTAGTAATGCTACTTAAAAATCATATCATAACCCCCCCCCCCCCTCCCCAGAAGGTGGGATGTAAAAAAATTAAATTTTGTAGTAGAATTTTTATTCATGTTAACCTAACACGTGTTAAAAATGCTCAAGACATTTCAACATTCTCTGCACTACCTGAGCCGGGATGAAATAGTGACAAATTTTAATACAAATTATCAGTTCCTAATAGAACACTGATCTAGAAACAACGGAATCATTTATCCTCAGTCCACACTTCTTCGTGTGCGCAACAATTTTAGTGACAGAGACACAACTTCAACAATCTTCAATCTCCAGCGACCCTAGCGAGAACGGTATACGCTGTAAAATGTCGGATCCCAAGGAAATCTGGAATGAGGAGACAACCATACGCTGGAAAGAAACGTGGACTTTGCCGGCATCTGAGGAATTCACAGATGGGAGCCGTACTGAACATCAGAATAGAGACGGACCAAATAGAGAAGGAAAAAAGGGAGAAGGAAAAAAAGAAGAACGAAACGGAGGTAGAAACAGCAAGAGAAATTTAGAGCAGGAATTTGACTGGAACTTTAACCAGTCATAAAATACATGCTCAGTCATTCAAGTTTATAATTTTGTGTTTTGCATTTATATAAATTCAACAAATATTGTCGATTATGTATTTTTACGTCGTTTTAATTAATAAAGTTTTTTTCTGTTTTATTAAATATAAATAATTTTATAATGAAATTTGTGTTCAATCATCGTTAAATAAGTGTTTTAAAAAGTAAAATAAAAACAATTTTAATACGATAGTATCTACGAATTCCTTCACAGTAATGAACACACATTTCTTAAAAGTAGAAAGAGATTTTAGAAAAGCTCTCGAATTCATCTCAAAAGATAAAAATTTAAGCAATACTGGGGGATGCATGACACGGTGTTCTAAAAGCCGATTTCATAAGTATCAGTCGACATGCGCAAGAATAGAGAGCAGGCACATTCTAGCCTTTTAATTAAATTTTTATTAAAAAGCTTCAAACAAAAATTCTTCTGCAGCGCCGCTTCTTCACTCTATATGAATATTTTTTATAAAAATCTAAACATTCCAAAACATTTTACACTTCCCCCCCCCCCAAGCTGATCTTCGTATTGACATAAAATTAAACCGATTCATTTTAAACAAATTTTTGCCAGGGAGATTAACTTCGGCGCGCTCTATGCTCATTATTTCACTTCAAAATTTACTAACTAATAGATTTATGTGGTACATTTCAGGCTAAATAAAAAATAATTTATTCTGTTTCAGTCTTGGTTTAAAGGACCTCCACCGTACACCCCCCTCCCCCCACCCCCTTTAATAACTAGAGAGGGAGGGGGGGGGGGGGAGTCTCCCTTTTCCCCATTGCAACTAAGCAAATTTAGTCTTTACAAATTAAGGTGTAAGGATGTGTAACAGTGAGGGGGAAAAGGGAGGGGGCGCACATATCCTAAAAAGATACAGATGCTAAGGAACATCTTGTGTTCCCAGTATAAAGAGACTGTTCTCTGCCCTGAAGATATTTAAATCAGACCTAAGGAGTTGCCTGAACGCAGATATTCCAAACGCCCTCCTTCAACTTAAAGCTTAGCTAATATGAATTAGACCTGTTTTTTTTTCATCCAATTAAGTAAAAAAAATCATTATCATTTTGTGCAAACTAGTAGAAAAATAGTATAAAAAAATGTTAAAATGTTTAACATTTTTTTAGGTATGAAAAGATATTTGAACTAAAATAATTTTATTTTTGATCTATGACCTGGATCTGGATCCGGATCCGAATCCGGATCCATTTTTTTGAAAAGCGGATCCAGGATCCGGATCCGGATCCGGATCCGCATCAAAATTAAATGGATCCTAAGCACTGCTAAAAAGAAGAAGAAAAATGGGTTCTCAAGTAGATTAGAATCCCTATCAAGAAATGAGTTGACATTTTTATTTTGCGATCATGAATGAATGGGTGCTACAATGCTGAATCTGAACTTAAAATATTACGAAGTACAAAGTGTCCTACCCCCCCCTGCTCCCTGTTCTTTCTACTCGACACATGTTTACTCATTTTCCGCAAAGATTTCAACATGATATTTACTGCTTGGGGTTGGGGTAGGCGGGGGAAAGGTCGATACGGTACAGTGATCTGACCAGACTTTAATACAATTGGCGGAGAAATCCGAGCCCGCCAACCAATCACAATAATGCGTCAACTCAAAACTAGAATTGTATTACTACATTACCCTATTTGACACGGACTAATCAACATTATTCATTAATTCCGCGTATGCCACATTTTTAGCAACTCTTCTTGGAAAATAGTAATCAAAAGAACGTAACAGTAAGATGTCGTCTGAATCTGGCAAAATCTGGACAGAGAAGACTACCAGACGTTTTATAAAAGCATGGACACCTTCAGCGTCTGTGGAGTTCCCAGATGAAAACCATAATAAAGATTATCAGAATCGAAACAGTGGCGGACAAAACAGAGATGAAAAAATTGAAGATGAAACCCTTAATAGACATGAAGTGCAGTGGTTTGACTGGAGCTTAATAAGTCATGGCAAGCTTAACCAAAATACTACACCAAGCCAAGAAAAACTCAACCAAAATACTACACCAAGCCAAGAAAAGCTCAACCAAAATACAACACCTAGTCGAGAAAAGATCAACCAAAATTCATCAAAAAGTCAAGAAAAGCCTAACTAAAATTCATCAAAAAGTCAAGAAAAGCTCAACCAAAATTCATCAAAAAGTCGAGAAAAGCTCATCCAAAATTCATCAAAAAGTCAAGAAAAGCTAAAAAAATTCATCAAAAAGTCAAGAAAAGCTCAACCAAAATTCATCAAAAAGTCTAGAAAAGATCAACCAAAATTCATCAAAAAGTCAAGAAAAGCTCAACCAAAATACAACAAAAAGTCGAGAAAAGATCAACCAAAATACAACACCGAGTAGAGAAAAGCTCAACCAAAATTCATCAATAAGTCAAGAAAAGCTCGACCAAACCAAGTCAAGATCATTCAACCAAAATACCACTAAGTCAAGAAAGTTCAACCAAAATTCATCAAAAAGTCTGAAAAGCTCAACCAAATCCATCAAAAAGTCAAGAAAAGCTCATCCAAAATTTATCAAAAAGTCTAGAAAAGCTCAACCAACATACAACACCAAGTAGAGAAACGCTCAACCAAACCTCATAAAGTCTAGAAAAGCTCAACCAAAAGTCATCAAAAAGCCAAGAAAAGCTCAACCAAAATACAACACCAAGTCAAGGAAAGCTCAACCAAAATTCATCAAAAAGTGAAGAAAAGCTCAACCAAAATACACACCAAATAAAGAAAAGCTCGACCAAAATTCAATCCCAAGTCATTAAAACACAACAAGATATAATCCAAAATCATAACAAGCTCAATAAAAAATGTTATGAAAAAAATACATTCAAATGTTTTCTTTTTAAGTAGCGAATAACGACATATTTTGAGCAGTGGAGCTTGAAAGGAGAGGGGGGCAGAGATTGGAAAGTAATAATTTTAGTAGAAATTGTTGAAAGTGGAGAATAGAGGGACATAATATCAATATAGAATTTTTAAATTTACTTTATTTAAACAAAGCATTTTTATTATCATACTTTTGGTTCGTTTTTAACTCGCTTTTTATTCTTTTTTCGTATATTTTTTCAGGATCAACTTTTCCATAGTGCACAGAGGCGGCTTATGTTGAGAGGGGAAAGGGGGACGTTCCCCAGGAAATTTGGGGGACGTCCCCTGGAAATAGGAGCGCAAGAAGAGAGTAGACGCATTCTAGTCCTTTAATTTTAATGCGAGAAATTATTAAAAATTTGTCCTGCGGCGAAACACCAATTTTTCACTTCGGAGGGGAATATTTTTGCCAGGAGGATCATATTTTAGCGCGCTACGCAAACAGAGAGGGAATGCTAAGTAGTTACATGAACATTGAATATCTTTCATGAAGCAAATTGTTGGGATAAGAACTGGTTCCACAAAAACTTATCAGTTATGAAACTCTGAAATTGTTAGTTTGAAACATTTCCATTCTTAACACTAAGCCAAATTTTTACCTTGAGAAAATGTTAATGTAGGAAACCAATTTTGCAAAGTTAAGAATGGACAAAGGAAAAATGTAATTTAGCTAATTCCAAAATGTATTTACATAACATACCTTTAATTGTTCCCCAGCAGTGTCTGCCAGCACGGAAAATACACTCATTGCTTGAATCCGTTCTCTACCTTCAGCACTCTTAACTTTGTTCTAAAAGAAAAATTGGTTAAAAATGTTCTGAAATGTATTGGGACTGTCCAGAAAATTCCGACCTTAAGATATCGTGTACAGAACGGTTAAAAATTAAATTAATTGCGATTATCTCACATTTCTCGTTGAGTTATTTCTGATTTTGATATTCTAGAATCATTAGAATCTGAATTTAAAATATCTTATTTTATCTTTTAACAAATATAACAACATTTTACCGTTCGTGGCATAAAATAAGAAATAAATGCATGGTTTTAAGAATTTTTGTAGATTTCTTAAGACTACAACTTATTAATGATAATAAATTGATGGAGAAGTAAATCTATTAATTTAGCACACTTCATCCCCCCGGCATAAGCATCACAACTAATGTCGGGTCTATCAACGTGCATAGCTTACAATAAGTATTTGAGGGAATGAAAACGTGATTTTAAGTGATAACAGCGGCATATGCGATTCACAACGGTACCATTGAACTCTGAGTCTGGCGAAGTATGTACATATTTGTTTCAGAAACAGAGAATTAAGTTAACGCAGCTGAACATTTTTAACAATAAAAAGGAAGTTCTCATGCACAATTCAGGTCAAGGCTTCAAGCCTCAAGAACCCTTTTAATGGAGGGTCCCTTCCCTTTAATTGAGAGTTTTGTAGATTTCTTAAGACTACAACTTATTAATGATAATAAATTGATGGAGAAGTAAATCTTTTAATTTAGCACAATTCATCCCCCCGACATAAGCATCACAACTAATGTCGGGTCTATCAACGTGCATAGCTTTAACTTAGTATTTGAGGGACTGTAAACGTAATTTGAAGTGAACTTCCCATTGATAACAGTGGACTGTCAGATTCACAACGGTACCCTTGTCTAGAAAAACGACTATAATCCTCTCATCGTTAATCAGATAAAGGTTTTAAGGGTTAAGTTGTAAATCGGACATATCCCGCTATAAATGGAAGGTCAATGCTCTTACGGCAGTCCAATTCGGAAATATGAATCCGTTAGAATAATTACCAGGACGAATTGAGGGAGTTCCTGCCACCCTGCTCCACCCAGTTCATGCTTAGCCAGGGTTCCAATCAGCTGACACAGCGCATTACTAACTAAACGAATACAACTTAATACTGAACCTAGGGTTGTAGTATAACTTCTTACAAGCAGAGATGTAGAATGTAGATAAAGGGGTTTAATATCTAGCGAAATCACTATTTTAATATATAAACCATTCACACGCGATGTTGGAGAATAGGGATTTAAAGGGGGAAAGTTGATATTTTGGTTTTTTAAATTCCAATGGAAGAGAACTTGTACAACGCAACTTTATAATTCTTGAATACCAAAATAGGGGTTAAAAAAGTATCGATTAAGTATGTAGTTTTTATTAACCCTATTCCTGCTGGGGGGGGGTCAATTTGACCCCCCCCCTGTAGTTTTTTTTTACATAACTCAAGAAGTGTTGGTCTGAGGCCTGAATGACTGCTTTTGCCTGTAACAAACTAAATCTTTGTTTTGACCCACTTTCACGTGTCAGATTTTGATAAAATGTAGCTTTTTGGAAAGCCTATGACATAAGGAAACGGATTGCACAAGTTTTGCGAAAAAAAATAAATTTCTAATGATGTATCATTTGTCATATTTGGACATAAAACATGGGATTTAGAGGGGGGGGGGCAAATTGACCCCCCCCCCCCAGCATATCCTGGTTTTCAAGTACCCCAGCAGGGATAGGGTTAAAAAAACAGAGGAGATTTTTTTTTACAAAAACTGACCTACTCACTTATATGGTTAATGTCCTTTAATTGTTAAAATTGCGAATTTTATACAATTGGATAATTTAGTAACCTGATTTGTCCAGTTCTGTCTGAATACTTTCCAGGCATCCAGTCTTAATCTTAGCTTTATCCTCAGCCGATAGTTTATCCCACATCCGAGATTTAGAAAACTTTTTCCTGAAAACGATCTTTAACTCACAAATCAAAGAACCTTTGAACCAGAGCTGGGAACTCTAGAATGGGATACCTTTAATCCTGACTGCTTAATCCGAATATCCAATGTGGACACTTTTAATTTCTTGCTTAATCTACTCTTTTTTGGATATATTACAGACAAATCCAAAAACCGGTTTTTTAAATTCAAGAGTCCCTCTCGTTTCAGTATACTCATTTTAAATGGCGCGGGAAATTTTAAATTTCCCGGCTTCTGATACTCGACTCTGATCGGTTTGAATTTTATACACTTTTCAGGTTACAGTACCAGATTAGGTTAGTCTCGAGATTAAGAAAAAGAGGATCAAGCATTGATCTCGATATCCACCATTAAGTTCCCAGCTCAGGATGGTTAGTTCACATTTTTGGGGCTGAATTTTTGGTACAGAGAGAACGTGTGAAAGGGAATATGAAGACTCCATTGGAGTAATATTGATGTATATTTATTGTAGTCCCCTAGTTTTTTTGTGAAATGGTCTGTGCCAGTGTGCACAGAGCACAACTGCCGAGTCTCTTGTAATGACTTGTTCAAATTCAACCTTAAGGTGGTCAATCTATTAAAAATTCTGGTTCTTAATGTAGACGGGGAGACGCATTACGTGGGTAGAAACATCGCTTAGAGCTGAAGTATTGCCCAGTGTGTATAAATTATCAAAATCTGAGAAGTTCATAACTTCCATATTTTTCCTGATAATTTGCTTTCCTTACATGCAAAATTTAAACCCCGAGAGGAAATAAATTTTTACAAGTTAAAAAATTTGAAAGATTTTTACCATTTTATCATTACCGCGAATCGTTGTGAATACTAAGTTTAATTTAAGTAAAAAAATAAAATTAACTTTTAAAAACATTCAACTTAAAATTCATCTACTTTAAAGACCAATGAAAGTATTTAAAAATAAATTGTTTACCTCAGTAGAACCGCAGCGTACTGCCTGATCTGCGGAGACGGTGATGTTCCTAGAACCCGGCACAGCTCCGGGACCACACCTGGGTCCTTGAACGCAACCCGGAGCTGTTCTGTAGCTGCCTGGATGACGGCGCTATCCGGCTGCAGGAGACGGGACAGAATATCCTCCATCCTTTAGTCTGAAACAGTGTCGAATTAAACTCAGATAAAGATGGTGGTTTGTCAAGAATCCAGAGTTTACTGAGCGGGTTTACCCCTGCCGTATCCGCCACGGAACTCCATGGGAGCAGCTCCTGGTCCGGCGTCGGCAGCCTTATCAGCTCCCTCTCCAGCTGCTCTTCTGTAAGCAGCACGGTCTCCCTCTCCTTCCTTGGCCTCGCGCCTAGAATATAAAGTAATAAAATGCTAACAAAACCAAATATATTTTAGTATCAGTGGTTTCATTAATTTTTCTGTTTCAAAGAACCAGTGCTAAGGATCCATTTAATTTTCATTCCGGATCCTGATACGCACCGGAAAGTAATGGATCCTGATCCAGGTTTTTTCTTTAAAATTTGCTGAATAAAGCAGAATTTTCAAATTTGTCACATTTTTTCGATCATTTTTTTGCTGGAACTTGATGAACCAATCAAAAACTCGGGAAATTTTCATAATCCGTCTTTTTCAATAGTAAGATTTAGGTTGAGTTTTTTTTTGCATTTTTTGGTTGATATCTTGCCATTGGATCCACATATTTTTACGGATCCGGATTCAGGAAGCCAAAAACTTTCGGATCCAACAGATCCGAATCCGTTGGATCCGAATCCTAAACACAGCTAAGAACTAATCCTTAACCCTATACTCGTCAAAGTAATATACGAAAGAAATTCTACGATACTAAATGGCTTTGCTGCAGGCATAGTTGCTCGAAACAAAATTGGTAATAACGCAGCGTAAAGAACTTAAAATAACTATGTAATACCGGGGAGCAGCTGATCTGGCGGGTCTAGCGTCTTTGGGAGCTTGTCTCTTCATGGTGGCGGGGACAATCTCCGTGGGCAGGTGGAGGTAGTCTCGGAGATACTGGATACCTGAAGACGGTACAATCAAACAATCAATCAATCAATCAATCAATCAATCAATCAATCAATCAAACAAACAAACAAACAAACAAACAAACAAACAAACAAACAAACAAACAAACAAGCAAACAATCAATAATTAATTTTGTCCCACCCAAACCTCAGTAGTATGATGAAAGATAAGATAAGGTTTAAAATAACTTAGTCCCTTCAAATTAGAGGGCGAGAGAAGGAAATGAAGCCCCCCTCCCATTAGTGCATAACCTACCAGACTCGGTGAGGTACCAGTAGAAGTGCCTCCAGGCAAACTGTTCCTTAACGTGCCCCTTGGACTTGAGGCTGGTCAGAGCCTTGATCACCTAAATATATCTTTTCATTTACAATTCCACATTCATAGATTTTAAATAAATTTCATGCTAGATTGATGAAGTTGATTAATATCATATGAAAAATAAGATGCTTAAGATCCATTTTATTTTGGTCCGGATCAGAAAAAATTATCTGGATTGAAATCCGGATCCGGATCCAGGTCATATTTTTTTTTTCAAGATTCGAACTTTTAAACGGAATTTCTTTTTCAAACAGATTCTCTTTTTTTGTTGCTTATTTATATGCGCTCAATGACAAATTCAGCTATTACATTTTTAATTGAAAATCTCGTAAAATTTGCGTCAGGAGTACCGAGTTTTTTTTTTGCTATTTCAGTTGACGTTTCGCTCCTTGTACCCGGATTCAAAATGTTACGATTCCATTTACAGGGTGGCCAAAACTTTTTTGAAAAAATCCGTTCATTTTCAGAACTAGAGAACTAGAGAGCTAGAAAGCTAGAGAACTAGAGAACTAAAAAAGAACTAGAGAACTAGAGAACTAGAGAACCAGAGAACCAGAGAACTAAAGAGCGTTGATTCTAATTTTTAAAACTGTTTAGATCGGTGTGAATTAGGCCATTTAACAAACAAACGATTAGGTTATAATTAGAAAGAGTGGAGTGTAGATTTAGGATCTAAAATAATTAAAATTGCGTGGTACAGGGGTTGCACACTCAATTAAAAGAAAGTTAAAATTAAACTAAAATGAAAAAATTTACAGATAAACGAAAGAAACCTGAGAGGATGTTCTCAGATCTGATAAAGAGACAGATAGATAGATAGATTAACAGACAGACAGATAGATAAATAGAAAGAGAAACAGATAGACACATACACATAGAGATAAACAGCGAGACAGATAGGATATATAAACAGATAGATAAAAAGATAGATAAACTGACATGCAGATAGATATACATATGGATAGACAGATAGCTAGACATGTAGCTAGACAGATAGCTAGACAGATAGCTAGACAGATAGCTAGACAGTTAGACAGATAGATAAACATATTCTCAAATGCACACTTCTGGAACATATTCTCAAATGAACACTTCTGGGATCTCGAAAATTATGAATGAATTTTTATTGTCAATTGAAAAATTAATCAATCTAATATTATTTAGAATGCAGATTTTTTTGTTGAAATTTTCATGAAAAATTTGCTGAAATGAGTGAAAATTAAAAAACCCCGGTGTATATCGAGGATAAAAATCCGTACAATTTGAAGAAAAAAAATCCGTACAATCCGTACAATTTTAGGGTTACAAAATAAAAAATCCGTACAATCCGTACATTTTGGCCACCCTGCAATTAGAACCGGATCCTAGGCACTGATGTTAATACCTAAAGACTAAATAAGAAAAGAGATCAAAATTGAGATTTAGTGTCATCATCAGCTTTGTAGCGCAGAGTTACGATTGTTTAAATGTAGAACAGAATTCGAGGTCACAGTTTTAAGCAGTTGAGGAGACAATATCAGGCGAGTAAACGTTTTGCTTAGTAAATAGTGAGTGTACGTTTCATAATTATGCATAGATAAAAATCTTTTTTGGCTTGTAGAATGCAGATACATAAAATGAAATTTTTAAACACGAACAAAAACACTATACCTGAAGGTTAGGAATGGTCTCAAGCTCTGGGTGCTTAGGAGCCTTGGTATTCCTCTCAGCAACCATAACTCCCTCCTTGAACAGGTGCTCGTAGATAGCGACGCGATTAGCCTTGGGCATCAACATTTTCCAGACTCAGATTTAACTTCTGAAACATAGATCAACATGTTAGAAATATAATTCAGCATGTTAGAAGCATAGATCAACATGTTTGAAATAATTATCAGGAAGTTAGAAGTGGGAGCGGTTCAAGGTTTATTCGTTGTCCTCCTCCTCATTGTCAGATTCCTCGTTGTTGATCTGGAAGTAACGGAGCTCGTAGGAGTCCTTGGTGGAGGCGACCACACGCAGCCAGTCCCTCAGGTTGTTCTTCTTCAAGTACTTCTTGGTCAAATACTTAAGATACCTGAACATTTACAGGTTAAAGCTTTTTAATCGTATTAATTTAGTGTAAAAGTTTGAACAGTTGAATCATCACTGGAAAAAATATATTTTTTGTGAATTCTAAAATAAAAGGGACAACTTCCCTCAATCAAAAAAACCCTAAGTTTTGAGATACCGTTATGAATCGAACATTCCAATCTTCATTAACAAATTAACTTCTTCAGTCCATTTGAATAGCTGGTAATATTTGAAAGAATATACCGATATAAAACAAATGTAAAGAAAAGTGTCAATTATTCTTAGGGACTGTACATAGTTTCAAGTGACCCTCCACTTTTAAAAGAATACATATATATATATAATATCATACTGTTTTAATTTTTGTTCAATAAAGTTGAAAAGAAGAACTTTTAAAAGAATTGGATAAGCCACATTTATGTGGAATATCCAATTTACAACGCATAAGCCTGTAGTTTAGTTTCTCTGAAGTGACTTGGGCAATTCATCCTTCAGAAACTATTGAGAAATTATCCTAAATGAAGGTTTAACACAAGACTACGTTATCTTCCAAATAGTAAATCAGAGGCCGAATTTTAAGAATTTGAGCCGCGGCGCAAACATGTTTCGTTTCATTTAAAATTGAATTCAATGTTTCCAAGATTTAAGCCGGCCTTCAAATAAAACCGGTTTTTTGCGGATTTGAGACGCGGCTAAAATTCATAAAATTCGGACTCTGATTAATCGTTTCTATTATAATGACGGTCACCTTAAAATTGCGACTGTAATCCCTTAATTTCAAGTCTTCCGAATCGTTTTAATTTTGTAAAAAGAGAAAATTTTTACCTCTTGGAGAAGGGGACGTTAGAAGTGAGATTGATCTTGGTCTTAGCTCTCTCCAGAACTAAATCAGAACCGAAGTTGCTGGTCTTACCACCGACCTAAATTATCAGTTTTAATACTATGGCTAACTGTAGTACAAGTTATCAGGTGTGTATTTTTATAAAAAAAAACACTAGAGAAAAATGAAAAATGGATATGAAAGGCAACTTTAAATCTTATTCTTATCAAGAATTTGCTTTTCCTAAAAATCATTTTTAATTCCCCAGTTAAGCCAATAAAAGCCTATACAAAATTCATTTCCATCTTCTGGGGCAAAATTTAAAATTGAATTTGGAGAAAATTGGAATATTTCTTTGCAAAAAGATTCTTGAAACATCAGGATAAAAAGGTCAATATGTTAGCATTACATTCATTAGTTAATAGTATAATTATTTAATATTAAAAAATACTTCGGAATAAGTGTCCTAAATTTTATAATAAAAGGCAATCAAGCCACATTCTTGAAAAAAATTCACACGGAAAATTTATTTCAAAAAACGAAACGTACTTCTAGGCTGGCATACTGCGTGCACGGGGCGGGAAGCGCCCATGGAAATTTGCTAAAATTCAATGAACACAACCTCACCCCGGACAGCAAAGCATGTCGCCTACTGTCCCACCTTAATCCTCTCTTGAAGATACTTCTCGAAATCAGCGCAGTTCATGATTCCATCCTCAACGGGGTGAGTGCAGTCAATGACCAGCTTGATCTGGTTCTTCTTGCCAAGCTTCTTAATTCCTCCCTTCTTTCCCTTCAGGGACTGCTTTCCGGGCTTAGCCTTGGCAACCATTTTTCTTCTGAAATAAATTTTAGGCAATTAATTAAGTACAGGTTAAGAGTATATAAATATAGGTTTGTGCAATACTTATGAATGTATAAGTTCTATGAACATTGGACAGCATCCTTTCTGATATTTCAAACACTTTTTGATTCTTATACTTAAACAAAGTTAGGATAATCCAGAAAAATCTCTCAGCTAAGCACTACACATGAAACTGTGGGTTTATTAGTTTCAGCTGAAACCAATACGACAGGATTTACATTTAATAGTAAACCTTTAAAAAACGGGAATATGTGGGGGGGGGGAAGGGTACAAAAAGTGATCAAGAAATAACCAATGTTTAGCACGTGATAGCGAATATAAAATACACAACATTGAAAAAATTGGTTATATTTCCTACAAAACACTTTTAAACACAACCTTTCAAATTAGGAGTCGGTTCCTAGAGAACGATTTTGAAACCCCCGGCCCCCCCCCCCTTTCAATTTTGTACATGAATC